AATTTTTTTTCTCCTTCCATTTCACTTTTTGTTTTGATCCAGCAATATTCTTGTTTAAGTCATGCAGCTTTCGGCCATTGTCAACCGAAACGTATTAAGGGAGAAAAAAGAAAAAAAAGGAAGAAAAAAAGGCGAATACAAAATCTGCCGCTTGACTCAACAACTGTTTCTCCGTATAGATATTTTCTGATTTCGCCTCGCATGAAAATTCCGCTCGAGGCGATTCGGCTTTGCTTATGAGATTTCTCCATGCTTGTTAATGGCAGCAGCGTAAAATTAAAAGAAAAAAAAGATCGAAATCACAATTGGCTGCTATCAATAATAACGTGCGATTACGAATGTCAAAAGGAGCAATCATTCATTTTATTCTGCTGTGCTGTGTGCGTTGGATTATTTTTTTTTTGCTTTTCGTCTTTCGAAAATGTGATCGAATTATCGCACGTGTATCGAATGTTTATGTATATATTTTGATATCATCAACATTCCAATATTTGGTGCACATGTTCGTTTTCACGTGGATTCATTTGCACTGATTTTCAACACATTTCTTTGCGCATTTTCATGGATTTGACCTACAGTATCATCACTCACGTAAGCTACACGACCAGTTTGTGTATATTTTATTGCTTTTTCTTTTCTCTTCATTCGATTTGAGCCTGTTTTTTCATGCATACTTTGACACAGCAAATCACATTCATTATTTAACATCGTCGCTTGAAATTGATTATTGTTTGTTTGTTTTTTTTTCTGCTGTGTTTCCGAATCACCTCTCACCTCTCACTCCAATTATTATATTCATTTTTCATTCGTAGAGTGGCAACACCAATTGCTTAAAGCGTTTGTGTAGAGCGATCATCGCATGGGAATAAAACGATTTATTAATTTTATTTATGGCACTTTTCGAAATTATTTTTCATCTTTTGTGCTATACGTATATATGCGTTGTGTAAAAATGAGCAGCAGGGGATTTTACGCATCCGTTTTTGCCGAAACAATTATTTTTAATTATTATTCAATTTGATTAATTTTATGATATTAGCGGCTTTTTCTCATACGCACCCGTGCTACGTTCTCGGTTCAGTGAAACGGTGTGGAAAATCGGTTTTTCACACATGTCGCCCAACATTTTCACGAACATTCCACGCCAGCCAGATTAATAGCGGCCCAATCAATTTATTCGATTGAGAACCATTTTTTTTTCACACCCACACACACATTACGTAATAACTGGTAATGACAATTTCGAGGTGCATTTCAAACTTAAGTTCATATAGTTATCGAAAACTTCAGCCTTTTTAACATGTTCACCGTTTCAACTGACGTGACGTGACATTTGAATGTTTCAACCCTTACACATTTTGTCTGTTTGGTGGATTTAATGTAGCCGCCGTCATCGAATCAAAAGCAAACGGAAAATTCCATTTCGAGTATTACTTCTACAAAATGTACTTTGATATTGCTTTTATATTCGACCAAAATCGATACGATTAGAGAACAACATCGAATCGAATCACATACGTGTTTAAAACTTATGGCTTCACAACTGGCATTTTGCAACCGGAGACGGAACGACAAGCGAACATTTTCTTTGCCCTCTGGTTTGTAATGACATTTCTTCGTGAGTCTCCGGCGTTGGGGTATTCCAGAAGGAAAACATCGTTCGAATATTCGCTGCTTTTTATTTGCTTCCTACCACTATAAACGTCAGCGATCAACATCAACAGAGACACTATAGCACATAGCATTAAACGCACTATTGCTTCACTCTTTGTACACACTTTGACATCACTTATGCTTTGGCGCGCGTCGTACGTTTTTCAAACGTTTATGTTTGATTCAAGTATTTCACCGATTTCACCGAATTTTCTTACTCAATATCAATATATTCATTCTTACTTGGAAGTTTTTTTTTATTGCAATGATGTTTTAAAATATATTTTGTCGAGAAGTTTTTTTTTTCAATTTCCAAAATTAAATGAAATTAAAACACATAGCATGAAACGTATTCATAGTAGAAATGCATATGTATTAGTTTGTACTTATTCATTATAATGTATTTAGATAGGACGCTAGCGCGGCCTGTTTGCTTCCATTGCAATATCGAAAATTGCACATAAACACAACCGACGAAGGAAAAAAAAATAATATTATGTATTTTGACAGAAATGTTCTCTTGAATGCTGCAAAATTGCTTGGAAATAATTTCGAATCAGTGACATAGAAAAAAAAACAACGGTTTGAATGTTGTGAAACCGTAGGTAAACGCAATATGAATATTGTAGTGTTTCAAAAAAAAGTGACATTTTCCAGTGAAAAAAAAGGGAGGAAAGGAAATAAATGAGACGATTGGGTAGTAAAGATTGTTTGAAAATGAAACCAATCCCGAGAAGCAGCCCTTTGCATGCGACAAAAAAAAAAGAAATCGATATACACCTGATGCCAAGCAACTGTGCTCAAGAAACTCGATCATGTCGCACAGAAGGAATTGAAAATGAAACAAATGGGCGAGTGAAATAAGAAAAAAAATTCCATAATGCAAGCGAAATAACAAACAGAAATAGATGAAAAAAAACGGAAAAACATACGAACACAGAACGTTTGAAGGGAAAAGTTGTTGGGAAGTATACATGGTGATTTTGATGTTTTTCTGTATCGGTTTTTTTATAATTCCACTCGGGTGACACACACACAAATACAAACAAAAACAAAGACGCACACGTGATGAGCTAAGTGGAAATAGACGTAGGTGGAATCAGTCAACCTGACGATATTAAATTTACGTAGTAAAAATGAAGAAGGTGTACACATTGAATGCCCAATTTCTCATTTTGGATCGCATCGGAAGAATGCCACAGCAGCGACGTTGGCGACGACGACGACGACGACAATGTGATCACTAGCAAACTTAGCACGTACCACAGGTTGTGTGTTTTAAATATGAAAATACCCAAATTTGATAGTCTCCGAAAGAGAAACAACTGAAGCGCATGCATGTGGTGTGGTTTGTTGAGCTGGAGTGTCTGTGCAAGCAGCAGCAACAGAAGCAAAAAAATGTGTCTAGAACTTCGACTAACCAAACCAATGCACAACAAGCAATCTGTTGTCTTTATTGTTGTTGCTTGTGGCTTTCGACACACACACATACACACACACAATCGGGCGCTTATGCTCTCACAATGGAATTCCAATAATATTTCAAAATAAACGATGGAAAATATTTCAGTTGTGATGCGTTAGCCATTTTGTGTGTGTGTGTGTGTGTGTGCGAGTGTTTGTGTTTCGGCTGGCTGTTTTTAAGACACACATTTCGGGCTACATAGAAAAACCAAATAATTTGATAAAATGCACATAAATTTCGAAAATATTCGAACAGATTCTTTTGCTGACGGACCGAAGGCAAAAAGATGTTTGATATCGAATAACAGCAGGATTAACGACGTAGAAATGATTTACAAGCATTTTAAGTGTGTTTATGGGCGCCTCGAAACCATTGCCCTTTTTCTCTTGGTCTCTCGTTCGTTCTCTGTGTCCATTCCTGAATGAGGAATGTGGAGGATGAATAATTTTGCACAGAGTATTCGAGCTGAACGACGCAATGTGAAACATGGTTTTGTGAAATATGCGAATCGAAATGAAATTGAGATTCAGCCACTCGAATGCCATTTGATATCGGAATTGTCAACGAAGTTTGTTCAATCGATGTATCGCAGCCAATAAAACGGTATGAAGGAATTCACAACTGCTGCTGCTGCTGCTGCTGCACTGTGTGTGACGAGCGGGAAAAGAACAAATATGAAGTAAAATGGCTTAAGCAAATGTTTGCCAAAAATAATTCGAATTGCCATGATGGTTCTGAAAGGGGAACATCAAAATTGTTATTTACACTCAGCAGCGCATGGAATCACATTGGGCGATGGAGCGTTTAAAAATCACTTTTGTATTTATTTCTCGACTAAATTGAATTAATTCCCTTCCTTTTGCTCCTTTTTTTTCCATCGCATAATCATTTATCAATGACAGAACAATTGTGCAGGCACAAAAAGCATTGAGCAAATGCCGGAATTTAATTTTCACTTCTCACTGCTCACTTACTGTTGACAATCAGCAGCAATGCATACTGAATTCTGGATTCAGAGCATTGAAAATACTTTGGCAAACTATTTTCCGACAACGATAAAATGTGCGATGTTCATTGCAAATTACAGATTACGCACAACGTTCACAGATCAACTCAACTCAAAACGAGATAGCACTCTACAGACGAGAGGGATTAGCTGAGCAATCGTGCTCGTTGATTTTAAAACAAACAAAAATTTTGTTTGGAATTATAAGGCATTGTCGTTGACCTGAAGTCGCGTCGAAAAGTTTTCAATCTTCTCACAATGGGCCAATCTAAGCGTGTGCTGAATCGAATATCTTAACATCGGATGAAGCTCTTTGGATCGCGATAAAACAGGCACTCCAGACTGTTCAACCGAGTGGAAGGCAAAGATTTTCTTGCGTATGTTTGGTCTCTCCTTCTCTCACTGGGTGTGCCTTTTTCCTCTTCATTCATTCGGTTGTAATAATCGAATATTCAACGCATTTACATTTAAATTAAGCGAATGGACTTTCGAAATCCTGTTGAATATAAACAATGAAACCGTTTTTTGATTTATGCCCACGCAGACCGATTCCTGCTGACGTAATGGACCTCTTTTTTGGGAACTGTTTGAATAAAATTGAATCGATCCATATTTTACAATCAAGCTAGTCAATCATAGAGTGAGTGAGCGGGCCAGCAAGTGAATAAGCTTTTCATTAATTGAATCACTTTGTACAGAGTAAACACGTATGATTCTCTCGATCTGGTCGCTGTTTGATAAAATGATTTCCAAGTTTTGATGCGCGCGTTTACATCTCGTTTTTGCCGTCGTGCAGCCAAAGTTTACACAGTAAATGCTTCGCATCGCAAAATGTCGATTTTTTTGCGAACGAAGAATAAACAAATATAAACTTACTGTTCGTTGATGAACTATTCGACGAAATTTGCTGAGTTTTTCAGTTTATAATTGGAATTTGTTCGAATCATTAATTGCCCCATGAACTTAACTTCAAAGCGCGCCATCCTCTCGTTCGCTCTGCTCTTTTGACGAAAAGACATGTGTCCGTCACTTTAATCTGCTTTCTGCCGTTTTTTATTACTGATTTTAATCGTATTAAAGTCGGATTTTGTCTTATTGTTCCAAAACTCGAGATATGTATCTTCAAGTGTTTCTTTTTCCTTTTCCGCAGCCTGATATAAATGTTTTTCACAGAGTTATATCAATGTTTCTGGAAATCGGGGCGACATACACTCGCTAATTTATTATCAAAAATATATTTCTATATTTCGGTACATTGTAATGAAACTAAAGAAGAAATGGAAAACCCTAATTGCAATATTGAATTACTGTGATCACAAAATACGAACTCTGCGATGTAATTCTATTTAAATAACGCAGTTCAATTAATTTCATTACGTGGGCCGCGAAATTCGAAACGCCAACATAATTGGAGTTTCTTCTTAAATTAAATCCATTCCCAGAATACGACCACTAACTGAACTATTCACTTTGATGGGTAACATATATTTGAGGCACAAAATTAAATATATCTTAAATTTTACATCTAATGCAAAGAAATTCGATGTCAGTAATAGTATCTATATTTCGACTTGAAACTATTGGAGTAATTTAATTATTCCTTTGAATTTCAATGAAAAATATCAAGTGTCACAGATAGGGGTGCATCGAAAGCCCAACAAATCCTGTTTTAAAATCAATAGTTTTCGTTTCCATTGCTCATCATATTTTGTCTTCTGCGTTTGGCGTGGTTTTACTGCAGCATTCGTTTAATATTTATGACCATATCATTTGTTATTGTAAGTTTCTGAGCTGGACAAGGGGGCGAGAGATGCGAGCGGGTGTTCGTGTTTCATTATTAGTTTTCATAGCTGTCAACTCGATTCTTTTGCCATTTGGTGCTCATAAACGCGTTATTTATGGTGCATGCGTTTGAAATTCAAAATCCATCTGGTTTCTTTTATTGGCCAGAGTTTGTGTCTCGAGCTGTGTTACATTGAATCGACTGTGCGTTCATCTTTTAACCCCAAGCGCTTTTGCGATAGTTTTCATCTTATTAGAGAATAAACGAAGCAGTTACATTCGATGGAAATGAAACAACAAGAGCAAAAGCAACAGCAATAGCAACAGCTCACATACGAGAATAAGAGAATAAGCAACAAAGTTGGAGCAAGATATTGGTATTTTATTTGCTTTGCTTGAAACATTCACTTAAACGGTCTTCGTCAATCGCATAGCGCAATGATTGCGATTCAATGACGGTGGTGGTGACACTAACTGAATTCGATGCTAGAGTGTGACGCATTTCTTCTCCCTTTTTATGTGTTTCTCTTCTTCTTTTTTCGTTGCTCTGTTCTATTCGATGCTTGAAACGCTCCATATTTTTATGTATTTATGCCGCATCGTGCGCTATAAAATAAATCCATTGAACATTTTTATGAAAACATAATGCTGAAGCAGCAACGCAATAAATGTGTGTTGTCTGGTCAGAAATTGCGGTTGTTATTCGCGAAAGGATGAAAGACAGCAAAGAAGATTGATAATTTCGCTGTTCGCTGCACACAACGACACAACGTGTGTAACTGATTCAATTGCGATGCTGTTGACAATATGGATGTACTTTGTGCATATAAAGTGTATACACGACATAAAATGACAGCTCGTTATGCGTGTGCACTGCACATCAAGTGCGTATCCATTCGATGCAGCCATTTCGAGAGGTAAAAGCCGCGAGAATATAATGTTTACATTGGAAATAATATGATGCCATGGCATAAATTATAACCATAATAATGTGGATTTGATCAAATCCTTGTGCCAACATGTGGTGATGGTGGTCGTGGTACATATGACTTTGATTCAAGTTTGCAACAGACGCACACATTCCTTAATTAGTGCTACAGATCTGGAAAATTAGGTGCATGTATTTGTGTTGGATTGTTGCGTAATTTGTATCGTTATCCAATAGCACTGAAAACGGATGCTTTCCGCTGCTAATTGTATGTTGTGTGCAATGAAAGGATCACAAATTCGGTTGCGTTTAATGGATTGATGGACGTTGAGAGCATTCAATAGCCCAGTGTTAATGTGATAATGACCCAAACCGGAAGGTATTAATTCCGTTCGATGAACAAAACAACGCTATAAAACTCAAAAAACTTCCCATCAATCATTTGCTCAAGAATAGGGAATTTTCCACGATGCCATTTCATACAACACAAAACTCAATAAAAATGATTTGTGCCGAAAAATTACCTTCCAAAATTTTCATCCATAAGAACGCAAATACACCGATTCTAACCGCTGACTGAATATCAATTCCGCTCGTACGATTCTCGTGCAATTGATCTGTAGCATTTGATGAAATAAGCATTATTTATTGCAATGTAAGCACTACTCAGATATTATAATTGCGCCATCGAGAATTTCGTGGCAACAAGATAAATGGAACGCAAAAGTATGCATTATTACTCGAGTAAATTGACTAAAATCGATAAAAATGGTAAAATAGCTTTTGCATTTTGAATGGAATGGTCCTCGGGAGTGTGCGCGCATATGTATGTGTGTACCTGAATTGATGATCATTTGTCTTTTTTCGCCCAATGGAGTCGATACGATGGAATTGGTTGGTTTTTCTTTCCATTTTCATTTTGGGGATATTCGGCGGCAGTGGAAACCAGATTAAAGCACATCCCATAAAAGATAATGAGGTGAATCCGCATGATTGGCTATCGCTCATGTCGTTGATACTCAGAGTACACATTACGCTCACGCAGTTCCGTCTGCAACGGCCGAAAAATTACTCCAATAAATTTGCATTGGCTCAATTTCGGCAGGCAGACAAACTACAGTTGGCGAACAGTGGTCCAAGTGGCGAAATTACTATATTTCGTGTTAGATTCTCTCTCTAACATAATAAATGGCTTGTGTGTCTGTGTGTTGTGTACGGATTTGGGGTTATCTTTCAAAAACTTGTGTTTTGTATAATCACAAGTTTGGACAACGCGTCTAATTAATGCCGATGAACACGAAGTTTTGGCAAAAAAGAGATTGATCGAAATGGGCCGTAGGAGGGAAATTAGTTGGCAATTGATAAATTGTGTTCGAATCACACTGAAAGAAGAATGTTGGACGCCACCGCCACAGCCACAGACTCTCTCACTTCAATTTACATATGCATGACCATATTTGTGTTCATTTCGGTCTATCGGCGTATCGATGCGACTGTCCCAATATATACATTATTAATCACTTCGGAATATGTTTAGCACTTTTGTATGTGTGTGACATCTATCTTTGGATTTTCTACGTTCACATCACGGTTAAAATACACACATACACGAGCAACATTGTATTGGGGATCGACTCTGAGACAGTATTTTGGGTCGAGGCAACATTAAAAGTATTATAACGGAAACTTATGTAATCGAAAACTTTTCGCAGCAATAAAAATCACCCCCTGCATAGCGAATCGAAAGCGAAAACGATTTGAAAATGGAATAAATAGAATTTTTGCTTGGTTTTTCGTGCGTAAACTAGCCGAAAGTAATGTGCCAAAGCGAATTAATTTATGTGATACACATTCAATCTATGTGACGCTCCTATCGATCCGGTGCTGGATCAAGTTTTCCATATCAGTTTCGTTTTGTGTCTATGGCAAAACAAAAGGAAAACGTGTTTATTCAGCAGTAATCGAATGCGATGTCTTAGCGTCCACAGATATAATATTCCATCTCGAGTGAGAGTGAGATTTGATCTAAAGTTGGCACACAATTATCATTCACTGACCTATGAATCTCTATCAGATGAAAGTTTTGCTCGCCTCCGGCCAACTTAAGTTTTTATTCACGTTTTATCTCATTACAGTTCAAAGTCACACGCATTTCGCAATTATTATTTTTTTGCTTCGACACAGTTTCCAAAATTTCCTTCATAAAATGATTCAAATGAATGTTCTTTTGTGATTAGTTTTGCCTTTTGTTTCTTTTCCACGGCACATTTTGTTTTTGTCTTTGTCATGCACTGATACAACGGTCTGCGGTTTTAATTGAATGCGAATCGAAATAACGCGCGCGAGAAAACAACGAACGAGCGATTACTCCCGTTTACATCTCACAAGCAACTGACTTGGATGCTCTCGTCGACAGACAGACTAAGTCTTAGAGGCTTTCAGATGATACACAGTTACAGCTGTTATCGTTGCAATGATGATGGAATGGAGGCTCACTTCTTCGGATTGAGTGAAAGCAGCACGGATAAATGAACATCATGCACCGCTTGAGTTCAATTCCAGAGGAAACCATTCTGAAAGTTTCACTCGAATTTCGAACATTGCAAAATGAATTCTGTTTCGGCAAATGTTGGATAAATTGCACTCATTGCGTGAGCTGTTTTTGCCGGTGTATGCGCATACTCCGATTCATTTTGCATCCATACAAGTTTTTCCGTGTTGAACTGTGTTCTGTGGCAATCAATTGACAGTTGAACGGGTTCACACATCGTCAAACAAACGACAGCCACATTGTTACCTATCAAATCGCAAATGAAATATAGGCTCATTCGCCACCACCCCTGACTGAGTGAAATTCGAGCAACATGAATGAAATTTTCCAATGATTCAGGGATCCACCGTGAGTTGCACAGCGTTAAAGCGCCCCGATTATTCTCAACGATGGAAAATTATTTGAGAAGAGAAAATTTCCTGTTCTTTTTTGCATTTCAGCAAAATTGAATGACATGAATTCAGGAGTCACTGATCAAATTAGCTGTACGCAATGTGAGTAGATGTGCTCATCGCGGTGCACTCAATGGGGTTCACTAATTTATTCATGTTGCCAGTCAATCAGCACTCTCTCTCTCTCTCTCTCTCTCTTTCTCTCGCTTTCCGTTCAACTCTTCAGCACTGATTTATATTCGGTGGCATTTGGCAAAAGTGACAACTCAAAAGTTTCTCACAAACACACAACTTACGTACAATACACAAGTGACAATTAAGGGGTTCAAGAACTCAATGCACTTTGTAAACGAACGCAAATGGAAAAGGAAGCTGAATTGCCAAGGAAACGGCCAATAGATTCAACCGAATAAGATTATTTAAATATTCGTTCATCAAAAAATCTCTTTATGAATTGGCCGTACTTAATTTGATAAATCAAAAGTTATTTATGACTCATGTTTCAAAACAATTATCGAAGATGTGAAAAGGGGTCACAAAGTGATGTTTGGTTGAAAGCAACAATACTCTCGAAATAATATCCTTAGCTGGATTTCACTTGTGTTTTTACAAAACATCCTCAGCGAATGAAAAATGTGTGTGCGCTTGTTTTTCACTCAATGCCATTCTTCGCTCTTCGTTTGCGTTAATTTAAATACTGTAACCAAGACATTTTGAATAAATTATAGGGACAAGGTGGGTTTAGCAGGTAAAAATTGACTAAACAAATGAATAAACCGGGAGAGAGAGAGAGAGAGAGAGAGAGAGAGAGAGAGAGAGAATCTAGCCAAATTCTCGTTTATCTACTGATTTCCTCAAATCAACAACATTTCCAAAGTACTTTAATTACTTTACCATTTTAGCAAATCAATATAAATTTGTTTCCTCCTATTTTGTAATCACTGCAGTGTGTGTACCTTTTTCCTCATCGAACCAAAATCGGATAAAGTTTCAATTTACTGAAATCGGATGGAAAGCAATCAAGGAATTACATAGCAAAGCGCCCGAAGCAAAACGCTTTTCAAAGTGTATAATTTGTAAAGCATTAGCGGAATGAAGAATGAAAAAGAATATCCCCATTTCTCAATGTGATCACTTTGCTAAGAGCTGGCTTTTTTTCGAAATCCATCGCATTTAATTTGTTTGATTTAATTTAATCACATCAGCTGCAGACTCGAATATCAAGGGAGACAGAAGGGGGAAGATCAAATCGAGCACCTGAAACAATGCACACGTTTGTTCACAAATTGAATTTTTCGACAATTCAGATTCGATTCAATTTCCAAGCATCATATCTTTATCGCATTTCGGCCGTTATTGTCATTCTTCCGAATTAATGACATCGTTAATGTCGCTTCATTACCAGAAATAATAACGCATTCCGCTTAAATTTCAATCGTTATTTTTTGCGCACAATGTTACGTGCTCTGCAGCATTGGCATGTTTGGGTTATTTTTTTTTTTCGTCAGTGCTCTCATTTTTCCATGAAAAAAACAAGAAGAATTTTTTCATTTACCTTATAATTGCTATTAAATTATATTGTCATGTATTTGAGTCACATCACGCACATTCCGAATTGCGAAATCCATTTAGATTTCGATCAAGATAAACGCCATCCTCATTTTTATGCTACGGCCCAATTATACGAAATGAACTTCGAAGAGGCAGACACTGTCGTTCAGGTGAAAATATTAGTGAACGCCGCTTATATTAGATGCGAGAAGAAAAAAAAACAATCCCAATTTCAATTTGGCGCAAACATAATATCAGCAGTTAATGGCTGCAATGTGATCATCATTGTTCAGTGATATTATTTTTCGCCGTCAGAACAAATGATTTCTGGCCATAAATAGTCTGTAATGCGTTTTTGAATGTCAGCAATCCGTGATTGTTTTTCATCCACTTCTGCTTCATTAATCATTATCGTTAACATTTCTGGGCCATTCATTAAGCCAATATTCAAATTGGGAGCACAGTCAAAGGCATGCATATATACTCAATGTGTCACAAATATTCGATCGCCTTTTCATTGAGTTGTGTTTAATAGAGAGAGAAAAGCGAGTATTATCTTGTTATCATTTTATTTGATCGAAAAATCTCGACGGGAGCTCATGTTTAATAGAAAATTCAGCCGTTTTGAGCCCCGAACAAACATTAAACGCTCACATTGCTCTAAATTAGGCGAGAGCCTACAGTGAAAGGGTATAAAACATTCGATTATTTGTATTGTATTGTGCATGCTCTGTTCATGCTTTCGACGGCAGAAAAGGAAGTATATCCCAGCACAAAACTTCTTTCTTTGCTTTCCATTCGAATGGTTCGCTGCTATTGTCGATTCTCCCATTAAATTTCATTCCAAAAAATTTGGTTCAATCAATTTAAATCCAAAAACCCACTCACAGTCGCCCCAAAAATACCCATTATAATAAATTACATTATTTTCAACGACTTTGCGGCAACAGCAGCACATCGGTTATCACATTTTGGTCTGTCAGAAATATACGCTCTTTCTCTTCCTTACTCTTTCAACGCATCTTCCTTTCCATGGTTAGTCTTTGATAGAAAAGGAGCGAAAAACTGAGGGGGAAAAAGAAAAAGAGAATGAATAAAAGCCAACAGAATGCTTTCCATGAAATATAAAGTGATGAATGCTGTGTAGTGTGTGCTGTGTGCTCTTCGGAAAGAAAACGTGCAATGGCCTGAAATAAATCAAAAGTCGATTCATTTCACCATAAACTAGTTGGCAGAAAGATAAGAGAGAGTTCGTTGCTCGCGTAATGAATATGATACTGTTTAAAAAATTAAAATTGTCAAACGTGGCCGCATTCTCGTTGCCTCGTTTGAACACCGTTCATTTTACCACAGTTGATAAATTGAATATTTCGTTTACCCTATTTAAGGTATTACAACTGCGTATCAATTTTTTTTTTCATTTAGTTTGGAGTAGCAGCAGTAGCGGGTTCATACGCACAAATACATACACAATCAAGATTTATGTCTTTTTTGCATCGCGCCGCCACCGCCGTTCATTCTCCAACCTTTCGGGGATGGCCCCTATCACTTGCTAATGGCATGGTATTGCAAAGTCAAGACTAAGCACACCCAATATCAAGCTATTCACAAACTGGTTTTCACATTTGTTTGCTTGTACATTGTGAGTGAAAATATCTCGATCGCTGTTTTAATTAAACCACTTCACCTCGATACTACTTACTGCGCTGAAAGCATCCAGCTAAAGTCAATAAAAAAAATCATTTTAACGAAGTATAACCTCGGAGATGGCAACTCCATTAGCCGCTGATGAAGCAAGACATGAACCACTTGACGAATACTGTTCAAACAGTGGAAATACGCAAATATGCTGCTGAAAGAGTCATTGGACGATGGATCGCGGAACTGGAAGCGGTGGTAGAAACAGTATGACCATTCGTCCGGGAAAACGGAATGAAAAATTGAGGTCAAAGCCACTGCCACCGCATCGAAAATAACATCATCAAAACTTATTCAGAGATAAAACTCCGCATACACTCGCACTCGCACACCAAACCATTTTGCATTTTATTTTTCCAGTCTCAATTTCTTTAGCTATTTCCTTTGTTGCCGTTTTCCGCACCATTTCGTTCGATTCGGAAAGTTCATTAATTATATGCCGGCGCTCACAATTTGTGTCGAGTACAATGTTTGCCTTTTTTGCTGAAAGCGCTCTCAATCGCTTTGAGTTTTCAACATTACGTGCGCGACGCAACAGCACGGCATAGCCCCGAGAACACTGACAAGATGAATGGGAATTCGGTTGTCAATTTGCAATACTGCTCAACAGCAACACTGTTAACAAACAGCACTTTTCTACAAGAATTAGATTCATTTTGCGTACCATTTCACCAGAGCCAGCCACCTATTATCCCAACTTTTTTTTGTATGCTAACCATCATTTCATTGTAGTATTGTCGAGGACAACGTTCGCAATATCTATACGAAAGCAAAAAAAATTGCATTCTCTGTTTCATCCCTCAATGGTTGAATATGTCACAATTGCTTTTGTTGTTTTCGTTGTCACTGTTGCTACTGTTGCCGATGCTGTCGCTGTTTGCTGCTGTTATTGCACATTCAGGTTGTGTTCGGAATGAGTTTAGTGATTTCGATTGTCAAACTTTTAACAATTGAATCCGTTTCGGGAAATGTAATAACAGGATGAGAAAAGCAAATCACCAGACATTATTTTTCTTTTCACACCATAATAGACTGTTGCCATCGATGGATTCCCACATTTATCCGTACGTATCCCCAAGAAGAGAAACTTTTGCCATTGTTCTCTTTGCAACATGCACGAAGACAATGGCGCAACGGAATGAAAAACGATGCACTGAACGATGCCGAATGAAATATAGTTTGTTTATAGTTTGTCGGTGATTCAACGGTCTCAATGATGCAAAATGAAATGCAGACGTTTTGTCCCGAACAAAGTTAGCAAAAGAAAAAATGAGAAAATTTTGCTTTCTTCGCTGCCGTAGAAAAAGCAAATCAAATCTTGAGATATTTGTTTTTCTCTTCATTCTTCGTTGCCTACCATCGTGAGGAGAAGTTTTTTTTCTGAATTAAATCGACAGCAGCACAATGAACATGTTAGCAGAATTCCAAGTTTGTTTGGAATTAGCTTTTCCGCCCCATATTTTCTCTCTACTTTGTCTCACCTTGTCAAAGTAACAAAATCGCTTGCTAGTTTTTGCCACAAAGTTAAACTCCACATCGAATACATTTTTATGAATTTGATTTTATTAAATAAATTTAAAACTTAATGTTATATTAATATATATAGAACTGTTTCTTGGTTTCATGATATGTTTTGTTTTTGTCTGGTAAAGTAGTTGCTTTTTTTGTTTTGTATATACTTTAAGATTTATTAAATAAATAAGATCATTTGATATGTTTCAGTTTCATTTAAAATATATAATAAGCTTTTCATTTTTTGTTGTTGTTGTTTGTCTGCCTATCATTGTGTTTCACGTCAAGACAAACTTGCGGGCACATACATCGCCGCTGATTTTTTTTTTTTTGTATGCTGAATCAATACGCTGCCCAAGTGTTTGTGACTTCGTTTGTACCATCGCTAATTAGCACGCGAACAGATCATCAAACATTTACAGTGCAAAAATCCGAAAAAAGGAACAAAACCCATCGGTGTGAAGCAATCCGTTCGTGCATTTTCCACCGCAAACACGAAGGAAAATTAATTTAAGTTTCGAAAGCATCACACATAAGAATAATTAATTATCGATTGGAATTCATTCCGAATCATAAAGATAGTCATTTAATTTGAACTTTTGGATTTTTCCAATAATCATCATCCAATAAAAATTTAATTGAATCGTTCGATCGTTTGTTTTTGGAATGAATTAAGCGAGAAAATTAGGCGGTTAATTCTGCACCGTAAATGTGATGTGATCAAAGTGAAATTCACCAATTCTTTTAGAATATTAGTGTCCGAACTAAAAGAAATGTGATTATGAAAAAGTCCCTAATGTCGATATGTCGAGAAAAACAAATTGATCCAGAATTTATTTCGGTTTTGAAGCTCGTCAGTTATCGTGGATGGAATTGTGTCAGAGAAACAACAACACAACAAAATTTCTGTACCGAGTGCACTGTTTCAATTCATTGCTGTTCGACTGGTTCAACGACAATGGAAACTTTTTCCGAGTTTTTTTTTTTCATAGAGTTTGTCAGAGATGCTGCCAACTCAAAATGTCGCTATTTTATAGAGAGCGAAAAATAACTGGTTCCATTTCAAAGAGTAATTGAAAAAACATCAATTCCACCAGAAAAAAAGATATGAAATCACTTTTTTTTCGCTCTGAATTGATTGTGTGTTTGTGTCCAAAATTTCTATAAAAATACTGTAGCCGAGCTGTGCATTTTATGATAAATGCATAAATATTTTCATGGGGAATCAAACAAATAGCGAAAATTTTGCGTCTTATTAATTTTGTGATTGAGCATTTCATTTACATATAATTCACGCATTCGTCAATCCACTATTTTAGTCATGGGTTTGATGGGATACACACATTTCTGTGTGTGAGTGTGGGTGTATCTCTTTTGGTTCTGTATATTTTGGGTTTTGGTTCAACGATCCAATGTTGAATCGTATGACTGCTTAGAAATTGTAGCCATCCATAGGTGTTTCAAGGTATGAGTAAAATTTTGGATTGATTGGAACGGAATAGTAGAATGGCGATGCATGTTCTGGTGCTACTCAGTCCAAGAAACCGGTGTTGACCAATTTCTCGAGGAAAAATTTCACATCACCTAATTCTGAATCTTTAATGCCTAACGACTTCAACATGCCAATATCACCATTTTCAACAGCCATGAATACCGAACGCAAATGTTCCAAATCAGATCTGTTCAAAAGAGAAAAACAGAAAAAAATCGGGTGAAAATCGAAATAGTACTTAAATGTGTATTGTCACAAACCTCATGAGATGAAGTGCGGCGCCAAAATCCTCGATTGTTTGTGATTCACTGAGGGCGATAGCAACTTTTTCAACACCACCCAATGGCTGTAGTGCATCACGAGCTTTGCTACCGAATAACTTTTCCAAATAGTTTGGCCCATGCGATGCTAATAAGCTCTGTAGAAATGATGCGGTCTCTTCAACAGGTGGTCGCTTAGCTGGAAAGCGAAAGTTTCAAACAACATTTTTACATGATTCCATCCACAAAATCCAAACAAATTACTTACCAGCTGTGCACAGTTTGGGGTTTTCATCATATCTAATTGGCGTTTTTTTTTGAGGATGAGAAACGAATAAAAATAGTATTATTTTCAGATATACTGGTCAATAATAGTAGAATTAAAGGATAAAAAGGGCGTTAATTGATTTTCTCAATTAAATGAATACTTTACCCATCGTCACAGTCGGGCGCTCCATCGCACAAATACTGAATCGATATGCAGTGTCCATCGCCTGGGCAACGAAACGGTTCATACGGATGACAAGCATCTGAAAACAACCAAAATTCCAAATAATTCACGCATAAATTCATCTGCTTACTTAATTATTAATTTTTGAATCCGGTGAATTTGAAATCACAGGCTCATTCGAAAATATTCAGTGTGACTGCATCTCCCATTGAATATTGGATGATGTGGTTGAGTTTATGCACGTTACATTCAACAAATTCTGTGGCATGCGCATTGCAACGATAAGGGTTGGTTCAGCTTGACGCAAAGAATTGTTGCGCTGTCTCTTTCGCTCGCTTTCCAGTTCTCTTGCAATACAGACAATAAAAAGCTTTTCATTACAACGGCCGTGGTTCTATGAAAGAGCTTTTATTATCGTCATAAAAGGAAAAGTTATTATGATTGTACAGCGAATATTTGTCTGTCATGTTAAATGCATCAGTTGTCGCTTTTGGCATGAAATACGGGCAAGGAAAATATTGTATAATCATCAACAGCTGAACAATGTAATGAAAGCGATAAAATAGAATTGGTTGCAGTACAAACCATGCCACAGAATGAATTTGCAATATCTTTGTTTTCAGCGGAGACATTTTCTACATAAAATTGTAAATAAATTTTAAATGAAATTGGATTATTATTCATGATGAATATTAGATGTTTTCGTGTGCGTCAGAGGTGATGAATATTAAATTTTTAGCGGATCTCATGGGTACATCATCAATTTGAATCATTTTAATTGCACATATGTATATTTCAACTGCCATCCATAAAGCGATTAGACAATGAACCAAATAGTGATTTACGTCACAAAAGTGAAATATCTATCTTGCCATTTCAATAAAACATCGCATTGAATGTGCCAGAACAGCTAAATCGAATTAAGATCCATGCGAATAAACCATGTATCCCAATTAATTGATGTCTGCTGAATGTTACGGATCGTATTCCACTTGAGTTTCCACCTTTTGCCAGAGACACACACTTTGTATCTGTTATTTGGAGTAATGCGTTTGTGTATAATTCACACGGTGCTCACAATTCGAAATGGATTGTGTTACCTGAATGATTGACAAAATGGAAACCTGTGTGGAAATGTAATTGGATTTGCTTGCGCATTGCAAAATGTGTAATCTCAAATTTCAACAACAGAAGAAACAAAAGAACACACATTCCGAACTGGCATTGATTTTCCCATTTCATGACAGCCATGTCACTCGAAAATAGTCCGTGCGCCAAAAAAGGTCAAGGATAAAATGATAAACTATTATCCTTCCAAATCCTGTGCATGCAATGCGTTTTTCTTTCTATTCATGGCACCGCAAAATAGATCGTCGATAAGCCAAACGATGCCATTTTCTGATCGTTCATTATTCTATTTCATTGGATATTTCGTCGGTTTTTCTCGCTTCGAGGTGTGAGCGCTCTTTCGTCATGATTATTTCTGCGAAATTTATTATGTGCCGTGGGCGGTTTCAGATGGTTGAATAGACCATAAAGTAAACAATTTTTTTTCGGGAGATAATTGAATTTGTTTGTTTGCGAACACACGAACTGTGTGCACACAACATGTTGTACATTTGGCTCGTAATCTTTGATTTCATTTTCGCTCTTGACATAGACATCGTTGCCGTTTGAAACTGGAGACTGACAAAGCAAGAGTCGCCATCCAACGCAGAAAATGCTGAAATTTCATTTATATGATGCGTACAAAAGCGTGTTTCAGATGGTCGACCAAATGTTGTACAACACATCGGTTGCGTCGTTGTGCCATTCCCATGAGATTGGAAACATCAATATTTCATTTGTTGCATATATATCATAAAAGAATGGTGTTGACGGTACGATATGAGGTCGACCTGTCGGTTGGGAAATGCTTTACATTTTACACTTGAGCGTGAAAATGTGAAAAGTTGAAAATTTATGTTTTGCTGTTGTCCAAATGAACACCATATACGTCCACAAATAGCACATAATTCGTACCCTTCATTTCAGCATGATTAAAATGGCAAAAATGTGAGGGGAAACGCAAAAACCGATGGAATTCTCTACTCTGTGTATATAGATTATTTGGATAGGATATTAAATTACATTTCATACAATTTGTTACAATGAATACGTTCTAAAAATAGCAGCTCTCATGCAAAAATGACGGAATAAAAATGTTACTCGCGAGTATAAGTAGTCTGCGAAGTGATAAAAAAAACACCAACAAAAGCCCATATTATCGGACTTGCCGTCATAGTGTAGAGTCGAAACGATTTAATTAGAAAAGTTCTGCACTTCAACTGACTTGAAGTGGGAATTTCGGTTAAGCAAGTCGATTTTTATGCGCGCCTTTCTTGAACACGAAAGAAAAGCGATAGCATGTTTTTGACGCAACAATTTGACTGCGGCACAAGTACACACCATAACTCGTGATAAACGCCAAAAGTTATTTATGCAGCGCAAAGGATGTAATACAAAAATCCTCCTCGGTTTTCCTATAAGCTCATACATTTTATCCAATTTGATATGGCGTTGTCGCTGGTGCTGATGTATGCAATAAACCTTCCCTAACATTTTAATTATTCATGTACACATATTTTTATGGGGTCCTCCGTCACTCCCCACCTCTCTTTCTCTCTCTCTCTTTCTCTGTTTTCTTCTGCTCTTTTGACACGTACATGTAGCATGTGTATTGCTGTTACTGAACTGAACATTTTCTTCTTGCTCTCTCCTACATGTTCAGTACTTTATCGAGATTGAATGAATAGAGCACGATATCGAGATAATACACACATGCACACGAACAATGGTAAATTGATTGGATATTCGTAGAACAATTTATATTCACATAACATGATAAATGAACGTACATGGCTAGCATAACTTACCACTGCGCTTTTGAACCGGTGGCCTTAAATGCCCGTATAGTCTACTTAAATCGATTCCAAACACAGAAAATGGTAACGACACAAAAAATATGTACCAAATTAATTTCGACATGTTTGTTACTCTGTTTTTTTTTCGCTCCTACACACACTAGCTGACTTTTTTTTCTTGTTTGATTTTCTCAATCTAATTGGATTCACACAGCGATTGATTTTGTAGCTTGCCTTCTTCCTTTTTTCCCTTTTTCTGCAGAGCGAACAAACGTGTAATTGAAGAACTTTGTGAATGCTTTTCGAAAGTCGTTTTTTTTAACAAACGAAACTTTTTTTGTCTTCTTTTGTCCCTTCTTTTATTGCGTTTGGCTCAATTATTTCTGACTGAAAAATTGAACTTGTGATTTTGCACTATGAAAGAGGACACACTTCTACGCCATGCGATACTGAAACACATTTAAACGAAATATACACGCGAAAATTATAAAGTGGCTGGCAAATGATTTGATAGAATTAAGTTGGTTTTTTTTTCTTTTCCTCTTTGGAAAAAATGCTCAAAAATCAACGGATAAAATTAACGAAAAAAACACAAATCGTTTGGTCAGTGTAACAACACACAGGAAAAAAAGGTGAAAATTCAGCTCTTTTGTCCGTGATGATTCGTTGCTAGAAACAAGTGATTGAGGCTTATTAAAATGTGATGTCGTCGTTGCTGTGTGTATCGACGTTCTGAGACTTTTCGTCGTTTTACTTGCTACTGCTTCAGTTTTCTACATGGAGCCAACGCAAAGCGCTCCTCGACGCGCACACACACACTCACATATACTCGAACAGTGAGCTGCACGATGGCGATGTCCCGTTTCAGCAAACGCCCGAAACGAGTCAATGCTTTACGCTTTTGAATTGCCTCACCGATTCACTCACAGCACACTCGGCATTGACTGTGTGCACGCTTTACGATGTGAATGGAAGCAAGTGAAACGAATCACATCTGACATTAGCTGCTTTAATTTGGGACTAGGAAATGTGTGTGTGCGTTTCGTTTTTCTTCGAATTTTTTTTTTACTTGTTCAGTGTGGAGGCGAACGGCTGACATGGGACCAATTTCCCAACACTTTTCCTTATCAGTGCAATAGCTTTTAATGAATTTCAAAGAGCTGAATGCTCATCAGCACATGACGTCATCATTATTACAGTCTGTCACACATTCTCCACTTGTGTTTTCCTTTGGCAGCTTTTTACCATTTGACGAATTAAAATGGCTTTTTGCTGTTGCTGTTACTGTTACTGCTGTCGTTGTGTACGGCTCTAAGACTCTTGAATTCATTGCGTTAACTCGAACGAGCAGTTCAAGTGCTTGCAATCAAAATGAAAAAAAAAATTGAAATACCGCGCCGTCGCTGTACTGACTGAATAAACAATTTTTCTTTTTTTTTCCCTTATGAGAGAGTCGATGCCACTCCTAACACACTCAAACCAACTGTTGGCTACTTAATGTGTTCTCAACGAAGGACTCATACCGCGAATTATTGTTATTATTCATTACACTCGACATAATGCTCAACAGCCACTTATCCGCTTCTTGGAAACATTACTTTGAATGGTATACGAATACGAGGAAACAATCCATTTTATTCGAGCAATGAGATCTCTGGCTTTAGCATACTTTGGACTGAGGTAGTTTCATACTATTTATGGAAATGATTCAAATGAAATCCCTTTACGATTTGTATAAAATCTCCGTTATTAAAATGATTGCGTTGTTTCGTGCAAAATTTCTGCCGATGATTTAAATGCGATTCCCGACGAGAGGAACCACTTTTGAAATAACCATTATGATTCTTATGAGAATTCGAATTCACTGTACATCTTCACGTTTGCCCGACGCTTAGCCCAAATACCAACCATGACACATGACAGCGAACTAACATAAGACATAACCTCAATTTTCCCATATCCACCAAATAAATAGTATTCTCGTTGATTCCGTTTTATTTGTGAAGCAAATAGTAGCAGTTTGTTTTAGTTCGGAAAAATGGTGAAAAAGAAGATTACAAGTAAGAAGCTATATGAATTGCTGGTGAATTGCAGGAAGCCAGCCGAAAATGCAACCTATATGCAAAACCGAAATCCACGTAATTTAGAAATGATGAGAATCGCCTATCGGCCCGACGGATACCACTTGGAAACGCCAGGAAGGAGATTTTGGCATAAGTAAGTTGCATTTTTATCGTGTACCTTCCTATTTTGAGTATTTGATAAATGTTCAAATCTGTCCATAGATTGGTGGTCGACAAGAGTGCAAAAGGTTTGACAGCGAAAGTTCAGCATTACACAGGTCGAATAGTATTGGAGTCGAGTACTGAAGAATGGTCATTGGCAAAACAACTCTACAGAACGTATGATATGGCAGCGTACATCAACTTTGGCCGTGTAAGTGACTCCACTATTTGATATAATTTGACATTAATTTCATTCGTACACATTCTCCATTGCAGATATTCGCACAAAGATGCCTTGAAGCGGGTATTATCGAAGTGGAAAACTTCAATGAGGCGATACCAGGTGGAAAATTGGATAAATTTTTAAAAGAACTCGAAAAGAATGGCCTTAAATTAACTGAATCACCGCAATACGTTAAGAAACATGCTCCCGACACCATTCGAATGGACAAACCATGGATGATACAAAATGACTAGAATGCCTTTTTATATTACTAGTATAAATTCAGTAGACCATAACTCAATGAAATACAAATGCAACATTTTCTTCTTCAGAAGTTTTTTTTATTCGTTTATTTAGACAGTACTACTTAAAGTGAAACATAATCGATTTAAATAATTCCGCGACACCTTTGCAATTGAATCATGGTAACTCTCGATGATGGCTCGCCTATTCCTGGAATCGATCCTTAATTTCTTCGAAGGTCAACTGTTTTGATAACACATGAAAGAAGACATGAAAAACCAAATAAAAATCATTCGATAAATAAAAGTCTTGTCATTTATATAACAATGATAAGGTTTTAGGAGGAAAATTGAATGGAACAATTTAAAGTGAAACACTTACGCCTTTGTTCTGTGTCTTCCACACATATTCGGCTCCGATTTCAACAGTTCGGTCAATTACGAATGCGGTGATGACGATACCAAGGACGTAGGTGGAGTTGCGTCCCAAAACTCTCGAGAAGAAACTCATCTTTCAATTGTTTGCTTCGATTTAATTACAACAAAGATTTATTTTAAGACTTTCTTGGTCTTGAAAATATATTCCTTTTTAGTTTGAAAAAGAGAAAAAAGTGAACACTGCGATGTCGACTTTGCAAGATAGCAATTTCCTTATGTAATCAATGTAAAAAAAACTTGCTGTCGCTTTGACAGTTCGGGCTACTCATAAGTTCGATGAATTCGATGTCAAATTTGCATGTTTACTGGAATTCACATTTGACACTTCGCATGTCTATTAATTCTTTGAACACGTTTCATTCCGATTTCGTGAAATAGAAAATCTATTGCAGCATTCATTCACATTTTTCCGTATTCTGCTGAAGATTCCGGTCCAAAATGGGTGATTCAATCGAAAAAGAATGGCAAAATGTCAATAAATTGGTAAGCTTGTTGTCGTTGATAAATTGTTGATGTGTTGCAATCTAACCTCTTTAATGTAAACATTTCCCCGGCTTAGGAACAAGGTATCAAATCCCTTGAACAAAACATTCAATCACTATCCAATGATAGCCTTGAATCCGAAGACGATCCAGAGTTGAATGAACTTATTGCCGAAAATACAAAACTCAAACATCGTTTGGCTGTTTTGAATAAGGTGAGTATTACGCACAATAACAATTGAGCGCTCAACAATTTATTGAAGTGTGTGAATTGTGATTTGGCCATTTAATTGCCAATTAAAGAAACAGAATTGACGTCTATCTGTAAAATTTTCATTATTTGTGGAAAACAAAGTCGCACTTTTATACAAAAAAAAATATTCTTGATGATTATTTCAGGCGATTGCGAATGAGCGTCAACAATCTTCTAAACCACTTGATTTGGACAGCATTGATGCACCCATCTCAATTATCGATCATTTGACGAAAATTTTCAATGTGGCCATTGCAACAGCTTTCCCAGAACTGCCAAGTCCACCGGAGGCTGCCGTCGTTGCTGGCGCAAATGCCAAATTCAATGACTACCAGTGTAACAGTTCCATGCAATTGGCCGCTTTGCTGAAACCAATTTATGCAGCTAAAGGCGCCAAACCACCACCACCGCGCGATATTGCATTGAAAATCATCGAAAACCTTCCTCAAACACCGCTCATCGAACGAATTGATGTTAGCGGACCCGGTTTCATTAACATCTTTTTGAGCAAAGCCTATCCAGAAAAGATTCTCAATTCGTTTTTGTTGAACGGTGTTCAACCACCGAAACATCCAAAGAAGAGAGTTGTTGTTGATTTTTCGTCGCCGAATATTGGTAAGAGCCATAGCCACAATTAATAAAAGCAATAAAAACCTAAACGTTCTTTTTTCTATACACAGCCAAGCAAATGCACGTTGGTCACTTGCGTTCAACAATTATCGGAGAGTCGATCAGCCGATTGTTGGAATTCTTTGGCTATGATGTTTTGCGGTTGAATCATGTGGGTGATTGGGGTACACAATTCGGTACGTATTTCATTTTGGCCAATTTATTTTGAGTTTTTCAACAATTAAACAAATAACACATTAAATTGACAGGTATGTTGATTGCTCATCTCGAGGATAAATTCCCGAACTTTGCCAAGGTGTCGCCACCAATTTCGGATCTTCAATCATTTTACAAAGAATCTAAAGCTCGTTTCGATTCGGATGAAGAGTTCAAAAAACGTGCATACAATCGAGTGGTTAAGCTGCAAGGCGGTGATCCAACCACGGTCAAAGCATGGACATTGATTTGCGATGTTTCACGTAAGGAATTCCAAAAAGTGTACGATCAATTGGATATCACGCTCATCGAACGCGGTGAATCATTTTATCAATCACGAATGGAAAGCATTGTCAAAGAATTGACTGATTCTGGTATGCTTGAAGATGATGATGGCCGTAAGATTATGTGGGGCGTTGTTGATCACTCTGAAAATGATATCCCATTGACTGTCGTTAAGTCAGATGGCGGTTTTACATATGACACCTCTGATATGGCCACCATAAAAAATCGGCTCGAAGAAGAGAAAGCCGATTGGGTAATTTATGTCACAGATGCTGGCCAATCCACGCATTTCAAAACGATTTTCCAATGTGCCGAGCGTGTGGGAATCATAAAACCAGGTGTTCATCGCATTGATCATGTCGGTTTCGGTGTCGTACTCGGCGAAGACGGAAAGAAATTCAAGACACGATCAGGTTTGTATACGTTCTGCTTCAGAAAAAAAAACAAATTGCATAACTAAAAATGTATTTCACATAACCGTAGGCGATACCGTAAAATTGAGCGAATTGCTTGATGAGGGTTTGACTCGCGCAATGGATAAACTCAAAGAGAAGGAACGTGACAAGGTGTTGACACCAGAAGAATTGAAACAAGCTCAAGAATCTGTTGCATTTGGTTGTGTCAAATATGCTGATTTATCGCACAATCGCACCAATGAATACGTTTTCTCCTTCGATCGTGTAAGTAAACCGCTTATACTTTGAGTTATATGAACAAACAGTTTGGTTAATGCGTTCAATTTTCCATTCATCATAGATGCTTGAAGACAAAGGAAATACAGCTGTTTATTTATTGTACGCATTTGCTCGTATAAAGTCGATCGCACGAAACTGTGGCGGTGAATATGCCAACAATATCAAGGAAGTTGCTCGAAAGAACCCAATCAAATTGGAGCATGAGAAAGAATTCAAATTGGCTAAAATGTTGATCAAATTTCCCGACGTCATGGAACGCGTTACAAAAGACCTTTGCTTGCATTACTTGTGCGAATTTGTCTACGATGTGTGTACCACATTCACCGAGTTCTACGATTCGTGCTACTGCATTGAGAAGAACAAAGCCGGTGAAATTGTTAAAATCAATGCCAGTCGCGTTCTTTTGGCCGAATGTACAGCTCAATTGCTTGCAAAATGTTTCTACATTTTGGGCTTAAAACCAGTATCGAAAATCTAAAACATCACACATCCAAATGAAATGGAAAATTAAAATTAAAATAAAAAATTCGAAATTTTGCATAAAATTGATTTGATTTTATTCTTGTTTCATTTGAAAAAATTTAATCGAGTAGAAAAAGGGTTTGCGATGTTTTTAGCCCAAAAAACCATTTGACAGATTAGACAGATATTTCGGGCACACACAGCGTCAACTTCACGCGCATTGAGTTTTTCATCGTCCGATGACATTTGTTCATTCTGGTTGATACACGGTGTACGTCTTCTCGTGCAAATCAGAATATCGAAAAGTTTGTTACATAATTTTCACTGAATTAAAAAAATCAGACCATAAGAAATCTGCTGCCAAGATGTCGAAGTGGAGAGAATTGGGATTAACCTACGTGCATTACTCCAACATCGCCGCCCGTGTGTTGAGAAGTTCATTGAAGGCCGAACTTAAAGCCGACGCAATCAAACGTGCTGATGCCCATGTCAAGTTCACCAAGTGGGAAGGCGGAAAGAAGGTTGAAACAGCCTAAACAACACCATTCTAGCGCTTAGTTTGTAGTCATTTAATGAGTCATCAGCCCATGCGGAGGAAGGCATCAATAACAAATGCAGAAAAATAATTATCACATTCAAATCCAAAAAAGAAAAAAAAAATCAATAGTTGCATCCGTTTCAACATCAATTCACTGTTGTGTGCTTGTTTAACTCCAACCACAGAATTCATTTTAATTGCAATGTTACATCAGTTCTGATCGGATTGCCATTTGTTCTTTTTTTGTGAAAATTCAGAATAAAATTCAATGAAATTGTAACAATTACAACAAATTTGTGGTGTTTTTTCTCTTTCGACTTTTTGACAATACTTTTGCCAATTTTTTTTAGCCGGCCAATGATTGATAAGCAAAACGATGCAATTCATATGGAAATTCAAAGAATATGATGCAATGCGGAGAAGGTAAGTTACTCGATTCGTTCTAGCAATCTTCAATACATTAAAGGTTTGTATTTGATTGTTGAAAATTCATTCGTGTCTAGATTATTAAATCATTTCCCCATAATCGTCAGTAGATCATTGAATAATTCACTGTTCCACGCTTTATATTCTGAGGTGAAACGACTATTGTTGTTTAAGATTAACAACATTATACACCTGAATAACAAGCAGCCACTTGAAATCCCGTTAAGTCTTCATTCCAGCCTGAAATACAATATCTTATTATATTATAATTAGAAAATTCCAAATAAAAGACACTTTAATTTGTTTTCTCAAGCCAGTAAATGCTTTAATAGTTCCATAAAATGTCGCTGTAAAATTTGATTTGATCACTTGCTTGTGACATTGTGTTTTTATTTTCGTCTCAGCAGAAAAAATCCAAAAAAAAAAACAAATTAACTTAAAGTATAAAAACTAGTAATTATTTAAACGTAATTTAGAAAATTTGGGTCAGATGTTTTTTTTTCTTCCATTTTTTTTTATAAAATTGAGATTGTTACGGTTTTGATCTGTCTTTTTGAATGTGTTTTGTCTTGATTAGAGTTTTTTCGTTCAGATTTGGAATTGGGATTCTAATAATAAATTAATTGAATCCACAAAACAAAACTGAAAACATTTCAATCGATAAAATTAAAAATGTCTATTTCAACTAAAATGATCGATTATCAAATGTGTTTGCATTCCCGTGTGTGCATCGTTTATGCTGTTGTTTGTTCTTTCCTGCGGAAAAATTTGCGATGTCGTTTTAAAATACTGCTTACACCGAAAATGCCCAACAATTTAACAATGAGTCTTGAATTAAACTTGATGTGGTGGTCATGATGCTGTTTGGATGTGCATTTGGCTTGATCAAAACATGTGTAGGTATTGGTGCTGTTACAATGGTAATTGTTATATGATGAAGAAGTCTGACGGCTGTTGGATAATAATTGTAGTTGTTTTTTATCGGAATTATCGCTGATGAAATCATCAATTGAACGTTGATGCTGCTGTAATTCACTAGTTCGGCATTGGCCTAGTTATTTCTTCTTTTGGGCTTTCTCAGCGGCTTTTGTGACTTTTCCAGTTGCAGCCTCTTTGAAGTTCACCGATTTGATGACCTGGCGAGAATAGAAATGCAAAAAGGAAAAAAAAACATACATAATTTGTTCCACATCAGTATTAAACTGTATCAAGAGGCGTATCTTACACCGACTGCAACGGTTTGACGCATGTCACGAACAGCAAAGCGTCCAAGAGGTGGAAATTCTTGGAACGATTCAACGCACAGCGGCTTAGTTGGAACTAAATTAATAATGGCTGCATCGCCAGATTTGATGGCCTTGGGATTTTCTTCGGTTGTTTTGCCCGAACGACGGTCGCATTTTTCTTTGATCTCTGCGAATTTGCACGCAATGTGAGCGGTGTGGCAATCCAACACGGGAGTGTATCCATTGGCTATTTGACCTGGGTGGTTAAGAACAATGACCTGATAAACAGAAAAAGAAACGTTTTTTCATTGGATTCTCTTAATGCACAACAATTTAAATATAGGAAAACAGCCATTTTTCATACCTGTGCGGTGAAATCTTGTGCTCCCCTTGGTGGTGAATTCTTTGAATCTCCTGCCACATAGCCACGACGCAATTCCTTAACAGAGACATTTTTCACGTTGAAGCCAACGTTATCGCCTGGTAATGCTTCTGCCAAAGCTTCGTGGTGCATTTCAACGGACTTGACTTCAGTGGTGATGTTAGCTGGGGCAAAGACCACGACCATGCCTGCCATCAAATATTTTATTGGAAAAGACCGGTTAAGACGCAAATAATTTCAAATCTGTAGCTTATTTTATTACCTGGTTTCAAGATGCCTGTTTCGACACGGCCGACTGGCACAGTACCGATGCCGCCAATCTTGTAAACATCTTGCAATGGCAAACGCAATGCTTTGTCGGTTGGGCGCGACGGTGGCAAAATGGCATCAAGAGCTTCAATCAAGCATTTTCCTTCGGCTTTTCCTTCCTTGCGTTCAACAGCCCATCCCTTGAACCAGGGCATCTTGTCGGATGGTTCAAGCCTGTATAAAAGGAAGTATTTCAAAAAAATTCCACCAAAAAAAATCCAAATCGATGAAATAAATTTACATGTTGTCTCCGTGCCATCCAGAAATTGGAACGAACGCCACAGCGGCTGGGTTGTAACCGATTTTCTTGATGTAGGAAGAGACTTCCTTCTTAATTTCTTCATAACGTGTTTCACTGTACGGCGGTTCAGTTGAATCCATCTTATTGACGCCTACAATCAATTGCTTCACACCCAAAGTGAATGCAAGCAATGCATGCTCACGCGTTTGTCCATTCTTTGAAATGCCAGCTTCGAATTCGCCAGTGCCGGCAGCAACGATAAGGACGGCACAATCAGCTTGTGACGTACCGGTGATCATGTTTTTAATGAAATCACGATGGCCTGGAGCATCGATGATGGTAACGTAGTATTTGGCCGTTTCGAATTTCCACAGAGCAATATCGATGGTGATACCACGTTCACGTTCAGCCTTCAATTTATCCAAGACCCAGGCATATTTGAATGAGCCTTTGCCCATTTCCTGAGCCTCCTTCTCGAATTTCTCGATGGTACGTTTGTCGATACCGCCGCATTTGTAGATCAAATGACCGGTTGTAGTGGATTTACCAGAGTCTACGTGTCCAATGACGACAATGTTAATATGAAACTTTTCCTTGCCCATTTTTTCAAACGATTTTTTTTATTTCCAATTACACGCGCAAAAATGTGTCGCTATTCAGTTTGTCTATTTTGCGGCAAAAAAGAGTGAACAAGAAAAGAGAAAAAAAAAGAGATGTGGATGTGCTTTTGAATCAACGTGACTATTTATATGTACGGAGAAATTTTCATTTGTGAACTAAATACAGAATTCTCTTTTTGTCCGAAACATGCAAAAAAAGAGAGTAGTATTGCAGTCAGGCCGATGCTTACTAGCATGCATACGCATCAAAATTAACCCACAAGCAGAGAGAGGAGAGGATATTTTAAGACAGTTGCCGAAACTAAAATTTGTTCGTTGCAGCGACGCATCACTCGGCAAATCTAACTTTATTTTATGCTCAATGCACAGCACTTTCGCAGCGTCGGCAACTCTTGTCTCTACCACATTTGCTTTTACACTTTTGTTAAATGGAAAATTTAAGTTGCAAAAGCCAAACATGAAATTCAAATCGATGCTCACTTTGCATTCGACTAATGGTTATTATTGATGATGATAGCTTAAATTATTAATGTAGGTAGATTATATATGTCATGTGGGTTTTCATTTATGTTCAATTTGAAAATATTGATTAATTCTGTGGCGTATATTGCCATTCCACTCTGTAGTCACACATTGTCATAGTAATCTATGTCTATTCGTTCTATAGCTATTCATCATCATCGTAAACTGCGCACTTAAATGCAAACGGACGGCATTTTTACGGTTATTTTGAGATCGAATTTCGGAGTGGCTCTGTTTCTTTTTTTTTGTGTCTTGTCTTCTTTTCTTGCACTAAAAAAGATGCATCTAATTTTTGTGATGTACATGTGTGAATCTAATGTGATTTTCATGTTGATGTGTGACATAGAGCACATATCGTGGTGGGACCATTGTTTCCAAGACAATCAATACCATCTACTGAATGATGAAATAACACAATCGGAATGTTATAATACACCGGTAGAAGCAAATCGAATTTTCTCGAAAACTTGCCGGTGACTATGAATCATTTTGGCAACGAAATTGAAAAAAAAAACCGAACCAGTTTTTTTTTCATCTGATTCAACGGTTGCTTCAATTTTGCGTGAGATTTCCAACAATTGGATGTGTTTAAGTTGTAATTGGTGTGAGAACTATTCATATTCATATTAAAATCAATAAATTGAATTTCCAAGATGGGTTCCGGCTAGACGAAACCAATGTAAATACCCCGTAAAAATGCCAAAACACAGCACAAAATCCTTTGACCGGTCGTTCATCATGAAAATGTAATTTTTCAACGTTTTCCATCAAATTTGCATGATTTTCGGATTCTTTTTCTCTAAAACAATGAGTATTTATTGATTTGTGCTTTTTTTGCGTCTCAATATTAATAATCACCTAGGAGTCGGCAGAAATTCCGACACGACAAAAAAAAACTCACACTTTTTCAGACGAAATAACCCTATGAAATAAATACTTATTCGGAATAAAAAATGGTTTCACGCGTTTATTTGATATTCACAACCGAATATAGGCAAAAATTATTAGTTGAATTAACTAAAAAAATAAAAGAGAATTGCAGAAGTGACGAGCTCAAGTGATTATGGGAAGTACTTACCCGCAAAACGTATTCGAAACGAAAGAACGATATTTTCGACGGCACGATTGAATTTGGATTTGAATGTGTATTGCACATGCGTGTGGCCTTTCTTCTCCTTTTTCTTCCTATTGAAACGCTTTCGTCGTGTGCATTTGTGTTGCCGATTCTGAAGCGAGCCCTTTGCAAACGGTGTATCCGCTTGTCTGTGTAGTTCTACACGCCAAAATATCGATAGATAGGTCGTGTACAGCTTGCTTGTATGTGTTTGTGTGTGAGTGTACGGTGAAATGCCGAAACAGAATAGAATACACTTTTCACCGCTCTCAGATGTTCTATATCATCAACGTAGGCTGTTATCCATCAATTCAACAACAATCAAAGGAGTCACCAATTTTGGTTTCGGCAATAATATATTAAATACTACAAACGCACAGCGATGATGCTCTTTTGCTTGTGTCCATTATTGATTTAAGTTGAATCGTTGCAAAGGAGTTTAACAGTGTAGCACGGATAATTTTTTGAATTATGATAAATCGTTGGAAATTTTTGAATTTTCCCACTAGGAATTATGATAATTTGCGCACAAATTGCACCAGATATTCTTCAGAACAAATTAGATTTAATGGAAACGTGAAGTTTATTTCGGAATCATATTAATTAGATAAAAATATATTTTTAAGTTAAAACCGTTGGATTTTTATTCCATCATCTTGGACACAATAAATTTTTACACAAGAATATTGGACGAATGAGAAGGTGTGTGTTTGTGTATCATGTATATTTAATAAGGTTTTATTGAAAAGGCTACCACATTGGCAGTAGATTGCTCCAACTAGATTGGCTTCCATCACCACCTCTTGCCACCGATTGCAATGTTTTATTTTCATCTGGGCTTAATTTCAGAATAATGTTTAATACTGGCACCAAATGTGCTCGTTCATCGGCATTGTTTATCGTCAAAAACTGAAAATTGAATGCATTTTTGAAGATAATTTTCAGCAATGAAAATCTGAAGAAAAATCATCATATAATTGTGTGCAGTGTGTCTTACCTTGAAAATGACATTTTTCATATACTCCAAATTCTTCATTTCTTTTTCGCGTTCTGTCGATCGCTCCTGGCGTCGTAGCTCTTCCTTCAGCATAGTGTTCATCTCAGTCAATCGAGCCACATCCATTTCAGCCTCCGAAAGTAATGTTGACAAATGTTTCACACTGTAATATAAATGTTTTCGTTAAGCAAGTACACATTTCCGATTGAGATATTTCAAAGTATTTTTTTAGATTCTTATCAACGTTTTCTGATAACTCACCGGCTCTGCTGGGCTTCAAACTTCTCTTTGGGAACGGATTTTTCTTCGTTGTGCTCAGTTATTTCCAATTCTTCATCGAATGTGTTATTCAAGAGTTCATCTAATGGAATTACCTCGTGCTTGCCGCGTGCGTTGGATGTTTTTCTCTGATTTGTAGACGATGTGCATTCGGAGCCTTCACCATCTTGCCGTTCCATCATAAGTAGCTCAATGCGCTGCTCGGTAGTTAATTGCGCGCCTTTGGATAGGCTCAACCCCGTATCCGAAACATCAGCATTCTTTGCTTCTTTTGTCGATTTCAATGCTGCAATTTCTTCTCCGTGTTTCTTTTTTATTTCTTCGATTTGATTTTTGAAGCAATTGTTCAGGGTCTCAGCTTGCAAGCGATGCATCTTCAGGGCTTCATGGTGGTCTTGAGTTTGTTTACGATTTTCTGATTGCATTTGTTCGATTTGTTGACGCGTTTCATGTGTTGTTTCATCGAGCAATTGAAGTAATTTTTTGCATCGATCCTGTAAATTGCTCTTTTCACCCTTTAGCTCTTCGATGGTGTTCTCCAGTCGGCGTTGCTGTTCAGCGGCGTGTACCAATTTAGCATTCAAGTCCTCTTTTGTTTGCGTTAAAATGGCCAACTCTTCTTTTAGCTCTTCTTCATTGCTCGAATCCTTAGATTGGTTCTGTCGCAAAACTGCCTGTGCTTTAACCTTATAGCTCGCAAAATCGGTTTGAACATTAGCCAATTCCTGCTCACAATTATTCAATTTTGATCGCAGATCACGAACTTCTTCTTCAAGCGATAAAATCTTGGTAACATTATTTTCATTCTCGGTCTTGAGTTTGGAAATAAATCTCTGTTTTTCGATTTCATTTTCCGACTGAGCAGATTGCAAATTGGTGAGCTCGATTTTGATATGATTCGCTTCTTTAACGTGATCGTCAATAAACCGCTTTAATTCAGAAATCTCCGAAGTATTTTCCTTCAGTTTGATTCGCTGCAGCTCGGTTTGTTGTTGATATTCTAGATTGAATAAAGAGTGTGATTACTTGAACAAACAATAGAATAATTACAACGAAAATTACCGCTTGAGTTCTGTTTTTCCAGTTCGAGTTGGTTGGTCAGAGTTTGAATGTCGGTGTTTAGCTTCTTGATGGCGGCCTGGTGTGTCTCGATTTCAGTTTTTGCTTCGGATAACTGCTTCACCGTCGACTCATACTTCAACGACACTTCAGTGAGTGATTTTTCATAGGCTTCAACTTCCAAATTCAAGACGCTGCTCTTCTTCATCGTTGCCTTCAATTTGTTCATCTCGGCCTTGATTTTCGACACTTCTTCGGCTTTCTGCGAGACTTCATTCTCCTTTTGTTTTACCACATCTGAGAAAAAGCAAAAAGAAAACATGTGATTAGCGAACACATCCATTGCAAGAAATTTCTATCCATCAGTAATTTCTTGAGAGTACTGACACCCGTTTCTTCGACTGCTTTGACTGAATTGAGTGTCACGAACCGTCAGAATTTTGATTTTCTAGATTATTCAAATTTTCCGAACGAGAAAAACATTGACAACGAAAGAGACTATGCTATAGACAAATCAACTCACCTTTTATTTTGATAATTTCATTCTCGGCATTTTTCAACTGTTGTGCCACAGATTTGTTGTCATTCTTCAACGTTTCAATTTGCTTTTCGCCAGCCCTGATCTGTTCGTCTAAGGCACTTTTGATTTTAAGATTGTTATCGGCAGTTGCTTTAATATCTTCATTCACGATTCTCAGCGATTTTATTTCTTCCTCAACCTTTTTAATCTGTTGATTCAATTGGTTAATCTCAGATTTGTATTGCTTTTGTTCCGATTTCATTGCGTCGATTTGATCAAGTAGTCGATCGTTTTCTTTTTGAAGTAATATTAGATTTTGTGCTTGTGCCGGAGCGGGCATTGGAGCAGGAGCAGTAACGGTGTTACATGTTTCAGTGGGTGTTGGTTGAGCTGATTCAAGCTTAGTGATGATGGCCTGTTGTTCAGCGATTTTTTTCTTCAATTTCAGGGCCAAACCGCGCAATTTGTTATACTTTTCCTCAAAACTATCTTCGATGTCTCTCATTCGAGCCACCTCATCGGCCCTTGAAATAGTAGATGTTGACAATATTTCGCTTTGATTATCAAATTGATTGCGCATTTGGTCAATTATTTTGGTTTTCTCTTTGACGCCCTCTTCCAATGAACTGATCTGCTTTGACTGGCCATCGAGTTTGGCGCTCAATTCATCGATTTCAGCGTTCTGATTCGATATAACTTCGCCACGTTTCTTCATCACATCATTCAATTCACGCATTTCAGCCAAAAGTTCGGCGTTTTTCTTATTGGCAACACCTTCAATCTCTTCAAGCTCAGCTATTTGTTTAGATTTGACTTGACATTCATCGGTAAGTTTTTCGATTTCTGCAACTTGTTCTGCAATCTGTTCCTTGAACGAATCAGAGATACGTTTCGATTCCTCTGCCAAGTTGACAATTTCCATATTTTTACTTTCGATCTCCTTCTGAATGGCCTCGTACTGCGTTTGCAATTTTTCGTATCTCTCACTGACTTCATCAGTTTTTGAAGTATCCGCAAGACGAGACTCTAAGTCACCAATGGTTTTTCTCAACTCTTCTACCATTTCGTTCAATACATCCTTTTCATGAGATAGTTCAGCATTCTTGTTGTTTGCCACAGCTGCTTTCTCTTCAAGATCAGATAGCTGTTGTGATTTAACCTGAGATTCTTCGTTAAGTCGTTGAACGTCAGAAGCCATTTTTTCGGTTTCTTCCATTAATAGAGCAGAAATACGTTCCAACTCCTGCTTTAAGTTGTCGATTTGTGAATTTTTATCAACAATTTCATCCTGAAGAGCCTTGTACTCCGTTTGCAATTTGTCATATTTCTCTCGGATTTTATCGTTCTTTGAAGCAGCCGCAAGACGAGACTCGGAAACATCAATCGTTTTCTTCAACTCTTGTACCATTTTATTCGATTCGTCCAACAGTTTAGCGTACTTGTTATTGGCCAGGGTTTCTTTCTCTTCGATATCGGTTATTTGTTGGGCTTTCAGCTGAGTCTCCTCGTTTAGTCTTTGAACTTCAGCCACTAACTTTTCATTTTCTCCCTTCAACAAGGCAGAAATCCGATCCGACTCCCTGTTTAAGTCATCAATTGCGGAATTTTTATCTTCAATTTCCTTCTGAAGTGAATTGCACTTTGTCAACAACTGTTCATGCTCTTCTTTGATATCATTAGTTTCGTTATTTTTGGCAGCATCAGAATCTTGTCTCGCCTCCAATTCATCGATTGTTTTCTGCAAGTCTTGTACCATATCGCTCAAGCGATTCGATTCAACCAAAAGTTCGGCGTTTTTCGTGGTGGCCAATGCTTCCTTTTGTTCGAGTTTGCATATTTGTTGCGTTTTATTCTGGCAATCCTTGACGAGTTTCTCAATTTCCGAGCCGCGAGTTTCGTTTTCCTCTTTTAATGATGTACAAATCTGTTCCCATTCCTGTGTCAAGTTGGCGATTTCGGAGTTTTTGTTTCCAATATCTGTTTGAAGCGACTTGTATTCGGTGAGCAACATTTCATATTTCTCCTTAACATCGCCAGTATCATTCATTTTTGCGGCTTCCTCAAGACGAAGTTCCAAATCATCGATAGTTTTTCTCAGCTCTTGCACGGTTAACTCACCACTTTCGACTTGTTTTTTGAGTTCAACTTTAGTTTTATTCAAACTGTCCACTTCTTTTACTAGCAATTTCGATGCATGTGATATTTGTACGTGCCACTTTGTCACCGATTTCGAATACTCAAAAACAGTGTCGGCCAATAATTTCTTTGATTGTTTCACCTCTTTCAATTTACTAGAAAATTCGCACACTTTTCCCTTGTATTTATCGATTTTGACGGCTTGTTCATCGCATCGCTTCGTCAGCTGTTCGTTTTCGTGTCTCAGCTGCTCTTTAAGCACATCAATTTTTTCCTCATCATCGTTGTTTGCTTTTAATTTTGCCAATTCCTCATTCAACACTTCCAATTGGAATTTCGTTTCCTCGTACAATCGACGGTTTTCATTGCGTTCCGTTTGCAAACCATTCACTATATCCTCGTGTTGAGTGATTGGTATTGTGGTTTCGTTGTTGGTCACCGATTGCACAGCCTCAATTTTTGCTTGTAGCTCTTTGTTTTCGAGTTGCAACTTATGATAAGCATCTTCCATGGCTTTCCATTTATCAATTGATTGCTCAAGCAACAGCAGCTCTTGTGTTTGACGTTGACTCAATTCAGACACTTTAGCGAGTTTTTCATCTAGTTTCCGGAGATCCATTTCTTGTTCTTCGTTTTCATCGGTCAATCGTTGAATGCGTTTATCTTTTGCTTCATTTTCAATTTCTAACTCGGATAATTTGGCCAGCTTTTCATTGTGCAAGCTCAACTGCTGATTCAATTTTTTCACTGATTTTTCTAAATCGTCAATTTTGTTGGTGGCTTCCAATTTGTTTTCGGTCAATGCATCAACCATCATTTGCATAGTTTTCAGACATTCTTTATCGGCCTGTTTCTGTGTATCACATTCGGTTATTTTTTCTTTCAAGGCTGTTACTTCATTAGCCAATTCTGAAATAGAAAAGTGAAAATTGAGATTAATAAAATTGGGCATGGATTACATAAACATGAAAAACAAACCATCTTTGGCTTTTTTCGCTTTTTGTGCAATTCCAAGTAATCCTTTACATTTTCGTATCAGTTCTTCGCGATCGAGACCCTCCAAAACACCTTTCTTCTCCGATGATGCACTCCCCTGCTGCAAAAATTGACAGTATATCGAAAATGATGGCAAAATTCCAAAAATTGTTTGCTTCTCATTTACTTACGGACGAATCCATGGTTCGCCTCAATTTTATCCTATTTCGAAAGACTAGTGTTTATCGATTAGTTGGTGCCACGAAACCTTTTTTAATTATTCATTAGTCTAATGCCGTGATAATGAGTTCACTGCAGAAAAAGAAAACAAATACTGAAGTGGAATGTATTAACACGTATTCATTAAATCTATTTGTTGACACTAAAAAAAAGTGACACAATATTGGATAGAACAATGATATGAGCAAAGAAGTAATGAACATTAGTGTATGACGTTTGAAATGTCACAATAGCGATATCCCTATCGGACGCCAGTGAGAGCGTACAATAATCAGCTGCTTTGAAAATGTCATGTTTTGAGTTTTTTTTTCTGATATAATCGTCATGTTCAGCAGTAAGGAGCGATTGGTAGAGAGAACACCGCAAAATGGCATTGATCGTAGGGAATTCATTCATCTTCTAGTTGACGAATACTACGAAACGACAAATGTTGGCAAGTATTTCATTTTTAGTTATTTACCGTCACCAAAAAATATCCATAAAAACGTATATTCTCCTTCAACAGAGGCTCAAGAGCAAGTCACAGCAAATCTAGCCAACTTCGCTTACGATCCACTGAATTACGAGTATTTGAGGGAATCCAAGGCAGTCGAACTATTTGTACAACTTTTGTCAAGCCCCAATCCAAATTTAGTTTTGCACGGAATCGCCGGCTGTTGCAATCTGTGCTTAGGTAATGTGCTTTATTCAGTTCAATTATGTTTGGTTCTAAAAATCGTAAATATTCTTTCTAGAGCCGGCGTGTTTTCAAATAATCATAGCTGAGAACGGAATTGAAGCAATTTCATCTTTATTAACACATAATTCTTCGAAAATTGTCGAAAATTCCATCGCTGCATTGCTCCAGTTGGATTCAGTCAAAACACATTCAACCATATTTACCGTGGCCAATCGTTCTAAAGTTGCAACCTATCAAAAATCGCCGAATATTCCACTTCAGAATCTAGCCACAATCTTTCTAGAAACAGCTCGAAATGATACTGAGCCATCGACTTAGGCCGTTGTTGACCACTCGAAATGTCATTCAAACGCTATTTTGCGGCATCAAAGATCTGCCGCGAGTGGTTGAGAAACGCATCATCACACAGGCTGAAGTGGATGCATTCGCAAAACTGACTGGCGATACGAATTATATCCATAGCAATGAGTGTCCACCAGAGAGACGTTGTGTTCATGGTGCATTTTTAAATGCAATCGTCGCAGGCATTATCGGCACAAAGGTGCCGGGTGCCGGCTCAATTGTGTTACTACAGGAATTTGTATTTCCGCAAAAGTGTGTTTGTGATGAGGAAATCACGATAACAGTAAGAATGCTAGAAAATCGACACATAAAGAAAATAGCATACGAATGTAAACAAAAAGGTATTCCAGTTTTCACTGGAACTGCGAATATCATTGTTAAGAACGTCGAATAAATTGCTGTTGTAACACAAATTGAATGTAGAAAAAGTGTTTTGTGTGTTGCGTTTAGTTTTCAGATTTTTCTGTTCGTTTGACGTTTGATTGCATCGATTTCAAACTTTTGGACGAAAGTGTCTCCTGTTGACAGCGTGACGACAACCAATCACAACACACACAATATAGCTGTTTCATTCGTACACGATGATCTCATTGTATCACAACATTCTTCTGTAGCTAACGCTTCGATTTGTTTATCCTTGTGTGTTTATTTGTTGAATGCGAACACCAGCAAAACGTTGACAGTGTGTTAGTGTGCCAAACTAACGCTGTGGAAGAAGCCAGTCGCGCAAGATGCGGTTGCGTTATGTTGTAGCTTCGATTGATGCAAAAGAAAGAGTGCTGAGTTTATTTGAATACATCAGGTTGCACGTTCGGTATAACAAGACGCGGTCTCGCACTACTCTTTTGCATGGTGATTGTTGTTTAAGCGTGGGAAACAAACACAATTCGGGTAAGGTACGGTACATTAAAATTTGTTCATAGAAAAATGTAGAATATGATAAAATACAGCATAAAAAATTGATAGACCAATGAAAATGATGAAGAAGAATCGGTTTTAATTGAAGTGATGAAATGTGTGTGTGACGAAGAAATAAGCACATCTTGTTGTACGGACCGTGTTTGGCACGTTAAAAGTCATTTTGTCAACTAATAGATTTCAATAGTCCGTTTTCATAAATTCGTGCATTGGTCTAATTTTGGTGTGTCGACGATCGACAAATTTGGGGATCGGCCATTTCACTCAACGCATACACATTAGAAATTGAACAAACCAAAACTGAAATTGGATGTAAGCCGAAACTTTTATTTGTCATTTGGAATGACGGTTTATTTAGCAATACTCTCATAAGAATCACAAAGTACCAAATACCGTGTTAATCCGAACAAAGCCATAAATTTCAATGCTCGAACCGAATCTCGTCGTTGGAGACGCAATATCCATTTGTTTGTTTATTTTTTCATGCGTCTGCACTTAGTGTGCGGCCAATAATGTTGAAATTCGATGACACAATCACAGCAGTTCGCCGAATCGTAAACTGTATCCAATTGAATGAGAGTTGAAAGTGTTTGAGATTTTTATGGCTTTTCTTCCGAAAAACGCATCATCCACATCAACATTTTACATCAACACTCAATTCGATTATTTTCTTTTTCACATCGGATATATCAACAAGTGGTGTGGATTTTTTTAGTACATTTTTCTAAAATATCAACATATTTCGAACATTCTAGAACGATGACGAACGTTTTCGTGACCGATTTGAAAGCGATGTGCGGTGCACTGTTACATGCTCTATGGAAAATTGAACGCTCCGAAAATCCTGATGTTATCCCAATTGATTTGGCGCAAGACATTTTGGGGTGAATATTGAACGAGTTTTAATTGAAATAAATTCATCTAATTTACATTGATTTCAGTTACCTCGGATCATTTCGCGAGCATGAGGCTATGCTTAATGAATTGGTACATGTGTCAGTCGAAGAATCAAACAAACCGAACGGCAATAGCGAGGATCATTCATCGAATATTTCTCCGGAACCCACTAAAGGAGGAGAAGGCGTGGAAGACAAAAAAGTGGTTTCGAATGATGCTGCCGAGCAAAACAATGTGGTTGACGTAGGAATGAATGAGGAGGAGAAAGTTGATGACCATCCAACTTTGAATGCAGTCGATGAGACGGCTCAAAATGAGCACATTGCCATCGAAGAACATCCATCGAATCCACAAACCATTGGCGAAGAAATCGATGCAACCACGGTCAATGATACCAGCCACGCGGTAGCGCTGTTGACGCATGCCATTGACCAATTGGAAGATATGAACAAAAAAAACTGCGCAGTCCATGAGACGGACATTCAAAACGAACCAGATGAAATTACTATTCAAGCTGAAGTTGTTGTGACAACCACACAAGATGAAGCACAACTCGGTGTTCCCAAACGATCAAAGAGAAAGGCGCAGTTCAAAGAGGAAGTGGAAAAATTTTTGCAACGAAGACGTAGCCTGGATTATGGCATGTTAAAGAATGGCGCTACTTCGCATTCAGGTAAAAACAACTCATTCGAATCCAGTGAAAATGAATTAAATTTTAATGAAAAAAAAAAAAACAAAACTGTTCACTATTTACAATAGACATCAGCTCGTCAAACGATGGCATTACAAAAGACCTTAAAATGTCCGTTACGTCATCGCATGAAGCCGTCATCGAATCAAAAAACGTTGTGAAATCAATGAAAAACCGCCATTCATTATCGCGCAAAACGATTTGCGTACAACGTCCCAGAATGAGATTGGCTGAATTGAACGATGACAAATTGGTGAACATCGTACATCGAAGAAATACCGACCAGCGCATGTACGTGAAAAACGAAGATTTCCACAAGAAATGGTGCGGATTATGCAAGAAACCCCAAAAGCATTTCGTACCTCACTTTGTTCGTGAACATCCCGAATCGGAAATTCCGATCTCTCGACCATCGCCCACAATGGCAAACCTGCTACGGCAACAAGCCCAGAAATTCACGCAACACAAAGGTAGTTTAACTGGCATCTGTTTGTTCTGTGAAGAAAGCAAATCGCTGCCGAAATACAGATGGGTTGTCCATTTCTTGGTTCACACCGGTGAAAAGATGTTCCGATGCGAAACATGCGATGCAACATACAAACATAAGACGGAGCATACAACGTGCCGCCAAGAGCCGGTCAATATTCATTCGGGACGCGATTCCGTCATGGGTTTCATCTGCAAGGATTGCAATTACACTCAGCTTTACCGCGGTAATATCATCAAGCACCTGGAAAATGAACACGGATACGTGGGACCAGAAGAAAAGTGCCACTACGAAAAGGTTCAACTGGTTCCCGACCTGGAACGCATCAAACCGAAATAGTCGCACCAAGAAGATGACGATCGACCAAATATCTCATGCTAGCAACAACCAAACGTACAACACGTATCCAGAATTCATATTTTTTTCATCTCTTCATTAACAAATGAAGGAGCATTCATATTTTTCTCCAACAAAAACTTGAAAACTCTATAACAGTCAACATAAATACATAAGCACAAAATACATTTAAACTCTATACCCCCATAGCATGGTCATTAGGCATTACTGTAACGAAATAAAATATAAGACACAACATTGAATTTGAATAAACATTAAAACGGAGAATTTTCATTTATTTATTATGGAATACGACACTTGTTCTAGGAAATGTTTAAAGTATGTAGCTGATGTTGAAGCACATCTCGAATATTCGCAGATCAAACATAATCAAAACAGTCGACGGCTCCGACGTTTTTTTTTGCATATTTCATATTCAACACATCACACTTTTGTTTTGAATTTGAATGTGAAAACGTCATTGCGGCATTTTGTGGTCTTTCCCCGATTTAATCTTTACACACACCGTACAAAATCTTTGTAAACTTCCAATATTTATTGAAAAAAAGTACTAAATTATACTTTTTGCGGGGAAGAAAGTTAATCTGTTGCAAATAGAATTCCAACTATACCACAACAAGAGAAAAACGTCAATTCAGTTGTGAGTTTTGGTAGTTTTCCGTAGTTTTCTCCGGGGATGAAGTTGTCATACAGACAACAATAAATAGAATCTGTGTTGAGTTTTGCAAATTATTCCGGCAACTGATGTTTACACTTTTTGCAGCAACATGAACAGCGGATCATTCATTTTGATCAAAAATTATTGTCAAAACATACTGGACATACTTACGTGGCTGATATTGAAAATGGCAACGGGCAAAGCGTCGATCGACCAACTGCGTTTGACGAGTTATCAAGGTAAATTTCTGCTCTTATAACAGCCGCTATGTTGTTAGAACTGAATAGAATGAAAGAAAATCTTTGAAAAATTGCTTTCTGTTGTGTCGTATCGTATCATTCAATAGCTTGGGTGAAAAACTTCAGCTTGTAATCGATCAACTGGGTGAAACCGAATCGAATGAGCACCGAACAGAGGATCATGTATCGATTACAAACGAAGAAGAAAATTGGGAATTTTCCTCAGATGGTGAATTCAATGTGGATGATTATGAAAAGCTATGTGAGCTAATCTCCACCACGTTCGATGATACTATGACATTGGAGAATTTACTGAAATATTCACATGACAAACGCACGAATATCAGTGGCGAACATATCGAGAGTGATTTTGATAATGACCAAGCGACTCTTGATAGTCCACCTAGCTCCAATTTGAACAAAAATATTGAGGTTCCAGGAATGAAAGACGTATCATCGAACAACATTGAAATCAATAGCATTGATTTGGAATCAAACACGGTCGTGTCTACGCTACGTGATACCATGAATGAATCACTCACATTTCAAGTGGATGAAACTGTAATGGCAGCTGATGAGGCATCGGATTCAGGTGAAGCAGCAGGTACCGAGCCAAAACGGAAGCGAAAATGGGAAACCATTTCAGATATTGACTTCAAACGTGGAAGGGTTCTTTCGAAACAAAGTCATCAAATGAATGAACACGTTAATATTCCATCGGGTAGGAATCAATGAAAAAAACTAAAGTCCCATATTTAAACATATAAATAAATTTTATTTCATCAAAACAGCTGTAACTCTCCTGAACGAGGAACAAATATCGAATGATGGAGTAAACGACGATGAAGACCAGTCAAGTGACAGTTCCACACAATTTGAAATCGAAGATAACGTTGGATATGAAAATGTGGAACATCTTGAAGACGATACCGTCGTAATTACTTCTGAAAGTGAAGACGATACCGACATGTTGGATCCACGTATAAGAAACACAAACCGAGAAATGCATTGCAAAAACTTATTCTATCAAACGGTATGTTTGTTATGTGGCAAGAATGATCCATTCATATCGAAGCATTACATGGAAGATCATCCAGAGACTGAGGTATTCGTGGCACGAACATCGCCGCAGATGGCTGAAAGATTGCGATTACAAAATGACAGATTCGAAGTGTCCAAAAAAGAGAAAATAACTGGAATCTGCTTTTTCTGTGAAAAAACAAAGACCATGCAAAGATCATGCTGGGAGGAACATATTCTCATGCACACCGGCGAGAAACCGTTCGCTTGTGTAAGCTGTAATACGGGTTTTGTAATGGCTCATCATCACGATGACAAGATTTGCAACAGTAAACCAGTCAATATTTTCCAATTCCACGGATCGCTCGTTGGTTGGATTATGTTGCAAAGAATGCAACTACCTACAGATTGAACCCAAGGGTATGATCGCCCATTTGGCAAATGAGCATGGATTCGAGTGTCCCACGGAAAAGTATCACTATGAAAAACTCACTTTGGTGTCCGCTGGCCAGCAGAACACTACACAAGCAGGTGAACCATCTAGAAAGTGTTACAACTCAATTTCACAATTGTCTAATTTCAATATCGAATTCACAGCATCCATCAATTCGTCATCGATTTCGACGCAGGCAGCAACTAGTTCAAGTCTGCCAAATGAAAAATCAATCAAATTCATACTACCGAGTAAAGGAGATGATAATGGCCTTATGCCGCATAGTGTTGATACTTCTTATACTGAAAACCGTTTAGAAGATTATTGTAACATTATTGCACGACCCTCGCCTCAAATGGCTGATAAACTGCGATCGCAAGTTGAAAAGTTCACTATCAATAAAAATGGCAAAATCGTGGGCCTTTGCTACTTTTGCGAAGATATCAAAACATTGCAAAAGGCATCGTGGAGAGCGCACATTTTGAGGCATACCGGAGAGAAGACTTTCTCGTGTAAGCGTTGTCCCATGGAAGTAAATTATAAAAAACAACATAATAACAACATATTCAATATGTATGAGGGTAAGTGCAAGGGCGAATTGATTGACATTTGCGAGATGAATTCATCTGACGGTTCATATGTGGGATATATGTGCCAAAATTGCAACCACATTCAGTTCAAGCATGAACGTATCTTCAAGCACTTGATAAACGAACATGGCTACGATGCATCTGACATTGGCCACCGCTACGGAAAATTTACGTTGTTGCCGAACATTCGAAATACATGAGCAAACCGAAGAAGAAACATTCATTTTTTTCTCCAAAGAAACATAAGAATTGTATATGAATTGTCATAAATAGAAAACTCATGCAAAGCCTGAGCTCTACAGCATAGCCATTAGACATTACTGTAATGAAAGCAAGTTATTGTTATTACTATTATTTATCGATTATATAGTCTACTAAATATAACCCACAACATCGAATTCGAATAAACATAAAATCGGAGAGTTTGCATTTATTTATCATGGAATGTGACACTTGTTCGTGGATGCGTTCGTTTTCGAGCTTTGAATCTTTGCAGATCACACACAATCAAAACGGTTGAGGTCTCCTACGTTTTCTGTATGTTTTCTTAACGCATTCAAATACGAATCGACAAACGCATTAGTGTGTGTAACATAAAACTGATTCGCAACGCATTGCTGGACTTTTTCCTTACAGCTATGACATCAACATGCGACGCCCTAAATAAAATGTCGCCAGCGACTCGACTCAACACATCACACTTTTGTTTTGAATTTGAATGTGAAAACGTCAGTGCGGCATTCTGTGCTCTTTCCACGATTTAATATTTACATACCATCCAGAACCTGTGTAAGTTTCTAATATTTGGTGAAAAAAATGATTTGAATACACTTTTTGTGCGGAAGAAAATTAATCTGTTGAGAATAAAATCCTAAAGAGAAAAAATTCAATTCAATTGCGATGTTTAGTATATATCCGTTTTCTCCTGAAATGAAATTGACATACAGATTGATTTGATGCTTATAGGGCTAAATTGGGTCAACAACAACAAATGAAAACTCCAATAACATTATTTATTTATTTTCATCAAAAATCTGAAAATTTGAAAACAATTTCTCCTTAACTCCATACTTGTTTTGCAGCAACATGAACAGCGAATTATTCATTTTGATCAAAAAGCATTGTCAAAACATTATCGATGTCGTATGTAGACTTGAAAATTCTAACAACGGGCGAAGCGTTGATCGATCAACTGTTTTGGAAGAGTTATCAAGGTAAATTTCTGCTCTCACAAGAACATGTGTATTTTTTGAATGCAATCGTATAGTGCTTTCACAAATGAAAATTAAATGAATATTACTTTCAGTTGTGTCACGGCATTCAATAGCTTGGGTGAAAAACTTCAGCTTGCAATCGATCAACTGGGTGAAACCGAATCGAATGAGCACCAAACAGAGGATGAAATATTGATTATAAACGAAGAAGAAAATTGGGAATGGTCCTCAGATGGTGAATTCAATCCGGATGATTATGAAAAGCTATGTGAGCTAATCTGCACCACGTTCGATGATACCATGACATTGGAGAATTTACTGAAATATTCACATGACAAACGCACGAACACCAGTGGTGAACATATCGAGAGTGATTTTGATAATGACCAAGCGACTCTTGATAGTCCACCTAGCTCCAACATGAACAAAAATATTGAGGTTCCAGATAAGAAAGACTCATCATCGAACAACATTGAAACCAATAGCATTGATTTGAAATCAGACACAGTCGTGTCTACGGTACGTGAAACCATGAATGGATCACTCACATTTCAAGTGGATGAAACTGTAATGGCAGCTGATGAGGCATCGGATTCAGGAGAAGCAGCATGTACCGAGCCGAAACGGAAGCGAAAATGGGAAACCATTTCAGATATTGACTTCGAACGTGGAAGGGTTCTTTCGAAACAAAGTCGTCAAACAAATGAACACGTTAATGTTCTATCGGGTAGGATTCAATCGAATTTTTATTCAGACCCCTATACATATTGATACATTTTGTTTCATCAAAACAGCTGTAACTATCCTGAACGAAGAAAAAATATCGAATGATGGAGCAAACGACAACGAAGATGACCAGTCAAGTGACAACTCTGAACCTGTAACCTCCACACAATTCGGAATCGAAGATAACGTTGAATATGAAAATGTGGAATTTCTTGAAGACGATACCGTTGTGATCACTTCTGAAAGTGACGGCGATACCGACTTGTCGGATCTATGCATAAGCAACACGAACCGCGAAATACATTGCAAAAATTCATTTTATAATATGGTCTGTTTGTTGTGTGGTAAGAATGATCCATTCATATCGAAGCATTACATGGAAGATCATCCAGATTGTGAGGTACTCCATTTGAAATGAAGAGGAAGCTGAACAGTGATACTAATTTTTCTTCTCAATCTACAGGTACTCGTGGCACGAACATCGCCGCAGATGGCTGAAAGATTGCGATTACAAAATGACAGATTCGAAGTGTCCAAAAAAGGGAAAATAACTGGAATCTGCTTTTTCTGTGAAGAAACAAAGACCATGCAAAGATCATGCTGGGAGGAACATATTCTCATGCACACCGGCGAGAAACCGTTCGCTTGTGTAAGCTGTAATACGAGTTTTGTAATGGCTCATCATCGCGATGACAAGATTTGCAACAGTGAAGCAGTCAATATTTTCCTGGCCAATTCTACGGATCGCTCGTTGGTTGGATTTTGTTGCAAAGAATGCAACTACCTACAGATTGAACCCAAGCGTATGATCGTCCATTTGGCAAATGAGCATGGATTCGAGTGTCCCACGGAAAACTATCACTATGAAAAACTCACTTTGGTGCCCGCTGGCCAGCGAAACACTACACAATCGGGTGAGTTATTTAGAAAGTGTTACAACTCAATTTCACAATTGTCTAATTTCAATATCGAATTCACAGCATCCATCGATTCGTCATCGATTTCGACGCAGGCAGCAACTAGTTCCAATCTACCAAATGGCAAATCGGTTACATTCATACTACCAAATGGGGAAGATGATGAGGATGAAACGCAACACTGTCGTAATACCAATCCGGATGTGCATTACAAAAATCAATCAACATGTGTGTTATGCGGCGTAGAAGATCCTTCTTTAGCTTACCATTACACGACATGCCATCCAAAGTATGAAGTCTACGTTGCTCGACCATCGCCTCAAATGGCTGATAAACTACGATCGCAAGTCGAACAGTTCGCTATCAATGAAAATGGCAAAATGGTGGGCCTCTGCTATTTTTGCGGTGACACCAAAACTATGGACCGATTTGGTTGGAGAGCGCACATTTTGAAGCATACCGGAGAGAAGATTTTCTCTTGTGAGCGTTGCGCCATGGAAGTAAATTATAGGAAACAGCACGATAGCAAGATAGTCAATAAGAACAAGTGCGACGGTGAATTGATTGACATTTGCGAGGCCAATTCATCAGACGGTTCATATGTGGGATTCATTTGCATTGAATGCAACTATGTGCAGATGAGATTCGATCGAATAATCAAGCATTTGACAAATCAGCATGACTACGATTCACCAGTTGAAGATCAACACTATCAAAAGTGCACGTTGTTACCCAGCACTCGCGCAGAAAAATCAGGCCGCTGAATGACAACCCCTCCTAATGGGTAATCCGCTAATGATTATTGTCAATAATATACTTATTTCTTCCTATAATTGATATTTAGAATTTGTAATAAAAAAAAAACATATTATTTTTTCATGAAAAACACTGAAATCATTTCATTTCATTTTATTTTAGTTTTTTTTTTAATTTCTGTTTGATAATTGCAAACGACGTTTGCCATTTTGAATTTTATTTGATAAAAAACACAAGGAAACACCTTAAGAGCTTACACGTGAATATGATCTTAAAATGTTCGTTAAACTTCTTTGTTGCTGTTTAAATTCTACATCGCTAGCGCTGATAAGGTATATAGCTTAATACATAAATGAGTTTGTATATTGCCATTCTGGTTACTTAGTTGCTAGACAAATAACTAGTATTATTTGTGCGTTTGATTTTCCAGATGATTTAGATCCTGTGTGTAATGAGTTCGATTGCTTTACAGCAGATAACTTTTAACTAAACAAATTTTGGATTAGACAAATCGTTCATTTCATGAGATATGATTCGAATGTATTGAATCGAAAGATTCAATGAAACTTACTTTTTTTTTGAAGCACACATAAACGCATTCTAATAATGCAATGTTCTTTTCAAAGTGCGAACATATGTTGCTCGCATTCTAGTAAATATGATCCACTAAAATTGTTCTAGAAAATATATGAATTACATCGTAATCTTATCGAATTATATAATTTTGTTTATTGTGTGTGTCTATGTTGAATAATGGGTCTAATTTTGCAAAATATGAAACTATTATGTAGAATTAAATGGGCAAAGCGCAACAGGAACAAAAATAGTACAAATCTAATTATAAAAGCTAACAAATTCCATTAAAAACAAAGTGATCCAATTTTTCAAAAAAAAAAATTCAATGTCAATCAATAAGTTGCGTTGCCAAAAACGTTTTATTTTTTTTATTTTTAGAAACAATCTTCTTTTTAGTTTTGTTTTTGTGCTAAATTTTGGTAGATTGAAAAAGAGGTGAAAATCCACACGTTTGGTTAATTAACCGAATTAAATCACAAACGTCAAACTGTTTTTTGTGCGTCCTGGATATCGTATTATAGCATTTTTACAAACAAAAAAAAACCTACGCAATAAAACTAATGTGAGATAAAAAAAAAAATATTGTAAGGCAGATTCCGATTGATATAATCCACGAATGGATATTAAGGCACTTTGTTCTCTTAATAGCTACTTGTGCTGAAATATATGGTTTCCCTTCAGAGAAAATATAATGGTCGAGATTTAAAATCTGGTTAAAGAATTTTCGTGATCCGTAAGATTGTTTTTAGATAGTTTGTATATGATTTTTTTTTGTTTCTCATGATACCCATCCATAGCACGTTATACATAGTATCCGTGGCTTCATTTTATTTGGTTTCTCGATACTTATTGCAATTATTTTTTGCCTGTTTCCTCTGATAAAAAAAAGGTATAAGTAGATGATGACTTGGATTAAAACTTTGTTTTGTTCTATCCCTATCGAAATGTGCGCAAAACGTTTCAATTCGCCAATGTGGAAATTGTGCGTAGTTTCACATCGTATGAAGTCATAAAAATTGCTCATTGACTTAACAGTTGTACAGCGAAGAAACCATTCCTTCCTCTTTATATTATTAACAAAGCAAACCTCCTTTAATGATTATTCTATAACTAATTGCAATCAAACCGTACATTTTTGTTTATTTTTGTTTTCTTCTTCGTACTAAATGTGTCTGCATATAAATTTGGTCGTTTAAAATGAATTTTTTTTCTCATGATTTATCAGTCGATTAAAAAAAAAAAGTTGTATTGTTCAAGTGGCCGAAACGTTGTATCTATTGTGGTTTGACGTGTTGTCGTAACCCGTTCCGAATTGAAGGTGACTTGATGAAGAGGTTATTATTTATGATCGGCTTATGCATCTAATTCCAAAACACTAACATTTCGCTCAAAGCTCAGCTCCATCATCATGGATTTCGTTCAGTTTTCACTTTTGCTTGAAACGCACACACAGACACGCAGTGGTGTTTCAGTCGGACACTTCGATTTTGATGTGCTGTGCAGCATCGGCAATTTGTGCGTTATACTGCGACATAACATTTTCGATTCGTATCGTTGAGGTTTGCTTTCCGCTTTGAGTATCATTTGTGTTGGTGAGCTTCTGCTCTTGTTCCCGTTGCTGGTTGGTTGCCGAAACCTGTGATTGTGCCGTTGCCTTTGTCGGTGCCACCGTTTCTTTTGGCGTGTAACAATCGTGCGTCATTTTCATGTGGTTTTTCATTTTGTCGGGCCGTGAGAATTCTTTGCTGCACACTGGGCATGGGAACACTTTGCGCGATGTGCCTTCATGATACAAAAATGCGTGCCGCTGAAAACTGTACTTGTTTTTAAACGTTTTCTGGACGTTTTCCTTTGCACATTCCGTACACTGGTAAATGCCTTCGAAGATTTTTGCATAGCGAAACAAATTCAAGCCACGAACCGACATTTCGGTTAGATGTTCAGCCTGATCGTCCTGATTGCTACCCTTTCGACGACACCGTCGACGTTGTGGCTGTCTAGAGGCCGCTGCTGATGGTTGTACCGATTCACTTTGCGCTGATGTGTCGTTCGTTTTCGGATTCGTTTCGACCGTTTTCTTTTGCAATTGCTGTTGCTGTTGCTCAACGGCGGCCGCAACCGCCATTTGCGTTGACATAAAGTTTGCCTGAATGGTGGTCGCCAAATTGTTAGCCAAATCATTTGTCATTTGATTGTTGTTGATCGAATCGCTCTGCAATTGTTGCAGTGCATTCGCCAGGTTTGAGGTAGATGGTCGTTGAGTTAGCGGGTTTATACGAATCTTCATGGTTGGCCGTTGCTCACCATCCGACTGACTTTGATTATTGCTCGCGACTAGCACATACTGTTTCGGCGCATTCGACGATTGCCTTAATGTCATTTGCTCCATTCGTTCATCTGCGCGTGAGAAAAGGGATAAAGAGAAAAACGGTTAATTTTCATGTTTTCAAAATGAGGGGCAAATATCGCTGGGTTTTTCTATAGCAAATAAATTCAAACAATGACACTGAAATAAAGAAAAAGCAAATCTAAAGGATTTTCACAGCAGCTGGGACGATAACTCAAGACAGAAAAAGGGGGGGCATTTAGCAGAATAAAAAAAATACCAATACATTTATTACTTGTAGATGTATATATTTTGAATGCAAATTAGTTGAATAAAGGTTGTGCATCTTTATAAATAAATACGAAATACAATAATTTCATTTGTCAATAAAATGATAATAAATTTGATTAAACCAATAACAAAAAATATAGATTTATTCGTTAAATTTTATGCGATAGCAATTTTGCTTCTTGAAAAACAAAAAAATGATTTCATTTCTTCTGTTCGATTTACTTTGCTGTATTTTCTTGTTCTTCTACTCTTCAATTCAGTATGGATATATTTGTTATGTCTCAAATTTAAAATCAATTTCGAATTAATGAAAGTTTTTTTTTCCGTGTATATATGTTAATGTTTCGCCAATCTTAAATGTTTTTTTTCTTTTAGAAAACCAAATAATAGCCTAAACTAAGGAGAAAATTTTGAAATAAATTTGTAAATTCTAAATGATCATTCTGAAATGTTTGATGCTTACGTACGAAAGGTGCGGAATTGTTTTGTGTGTGCGTAATTACTTTTTTTTTTAATGTGGAGTTGTCTCTTGTGTCATTACTACTATTTTTTGTTGTTATCATGTGCATGATTTTTGTGCGTATAATGTGCGGCATATATTCCCTTTCTCTCTTTCTCGTTCTTTTTTTTGCGCTTATCAATTCTTGTATTTTTTTTTATTGCATTTCTGCAACTGGATATGTATCGATTCTTGATTGTGTATGTCAAGAGAATGCGTTTCTATTTTCATTAGATCACATGTAATTGACATACAACACCTTAAAATAATTTTTTTTTTAAGAAACTAAACTAAATTCATTATATGAATTAAGAAATGATAAAAGCTAAAAAAAAAAATTGTTTCGATAGAGATTTCTATTTTGTGGGATAATTGACAATTAATTTGTTTTAAAAAAATATATCTGCCGTTTTTCATGTTTCCATTTGAAAATTTGTACGACCACAATTTTGTTTTTCGTTTTGGATAACTAGAAAGAAGATCGCACAATTTTCTGCACACAAATCATTTCAAGTGTCAAACCAACAGAAATGAATAGAAGAAATAAAGAAAAAAAAGATGTATCGGGCTTTGAATGCACAAGAAAATTAAAACATAAGGGGAAAAAACATAACAATTGCAAATAAATTAAATAAATTTTACTAAATTCTAAAAAAAAAATGTTCTATGCTGAAAAAAAATATATTAGTTTTGCTCTATTTAATTGATATTTTTTTTTTAATTTAAATTATGCTCATGATATTTTTTTCCGTAAATTTTACAGTTTGCGATGCTCTCGCGATGCGTCAATGCGTCGTGAGTGTGCGGCGCACATGTGTTTTGATTGTTTGTTTGATTCATGACAACGGTAACAAATAAATAACCAAGATTTTAGGAGAAAAGTGGAAATGACAGAAAAAAAATAAACAAAAAAAAGAAGACAAAAAATGGGTCTTTCCTACTCTATTATTTGCAGCTGATTTTTGGGATAAAAAAAAATAGTCGGAGATAAAATGTATGAGGAGAAATCAAATCAAAATAAAATGAACTAAATTGTCGAACATAAAATTGCACTAATCGTTATAAACCTAACTAAATATAATTTAATGAATTTGTGTAAATAAAAAGGGGATTATGTGTGTGTGTGTGTTTGTCGGTGTTCTTCTTTTTTGCATTTTTCAATTTTTCGAAGTGCAATCGAACGCATCACCGCAAAGATCTGCTTGCAGAGCGAACGAACGATTGCATCCTATGTTTTAAAAGGAATAACAAAAAAAAATAATAAATTACGTAAATAAGCCCGAACAAAAAATAAAAATGTCGCCCGTTAAAGCAGTACAGCTACAGTCAAAATGTACACCATGGATGCAAAATGTGTTTGTGTGCCGGTGCAAGGTATCTATAATTCCACTAAATGTTCACAAAAAAAAATCGATCCACACTAAACTAACTCCATCGACTCTGCCTTTTTTTTCTGCCCCCACCGAGGGGGGGGGGGGGAGTTGGGATCCATTAAACTATGAAAATCATTACTTCATTCGCTAAGTATACGTAAATATTGTCTTACGCGCTAATTTGTTTAAAAATTACAACTTAAACTTGCGTTAATATTCACTTTGTTTCATTAATTTATTTCTCAGTTAGAACACCATTTAATTGATCCAGCTCTTTTGGTGCACAATATTCCCATGTGCACCATTTGTGTGAATGCATTTCAAAGAAGAAAAATAAAAAAAAGAGCAAATGAAAATGGAAAATATTAGAAAAGAATTGCTTCGTTTGGGATATTTTTGTTTGTTTGTCTGAGGAAGGCGATTAAAAAAACACGAGTTTCACAGTGGAAGAAGTCTATTGGATTCAGTAAAGGCTTTCAACGCGAAAATGGTAAAACATATTTTTTTTTTTTTTACAATCTCCTGGATATTTTCACTTTTTGTCCCATTCCTCTGAACAATTTATATACACAATATTCTGTACTGCAAATACTATCAAGTCTTTTGACTTTTTGAAAAAAAAATTTCTTTTCGTAATTTGCTATGATAAATGAGAGTGTGAGAAAAATATTGCAACGTTCAATTTATCTAAATCATTTGCTGATTCTCATTTGGTTCATTTGTATATTTCCAATTCACAAAGACGAATAAATAATTTAAATTAAAAAAGAAATGGGGGGGGGGTTATGTTGGCGTTTTTTGCAAATAAACATAAAAATTGCATTGTTTTGCTTCATTCTTATGTGTCTACCATAATATTTTGCTATATTGTCCCGATCGATAAACTTGTTGTTTTTTCATGATTTTTTTTTTTTCATTTTTGTTTTCCATTCAGACTTTAAATTTAAGAATCATTTTGCATTTTTCTTTCTTCTTTATAATACAAATTAGGTTTTCAGGTAAACATTTTGTTATTTAAAAATAAGTCTCGAAAACAGGTAATAATTTATAAAATATGTTAAATTGCGTTTTAAGATTGGAATTTCCGTTATTTCTTTCTTTCTAAAGGCCACTTTTTGATTTACTTCTTTTTGTTCTCTCATAAAAAACAAATTATTATGCTAAGTTCAGCTCCCATCAATTTGTTTTTTTTTTTCGTTTTAATTTTAACCATATATTTTACAAGATCTACCAATGATTGTTTGATGAGAGAGAAGAGAAAAAAAATACTTATTTCTTGTTTTGCCAACTTAAAATTTTAAGGAATGATCAATTGCGTTTTCAAATGCATGATTTTTGTTTGTGTGTTTTGTTTATTTTGCTAAAAAAATTAATTAATTCCTAGTCCAAGCTTTTCCGAATTGCCTTCATATCGTGGGTATGTTCCCTATGGGATCAGAGGACTCTCGGTCAAAGTATATCAGTAAACTGTCAAAGTTTACAAATGAAAAAAGGAAAAACTCGCGATAGATAAAAGATTTAAAAAAAAAAGAAATTTTAAATGGAAAAAAGAAGCTTAGAATTGAATTGTTTGCTAAATACAAAATAAATTAATTATAAGTTAGAAATTAGGTTGCACAATTCGTACGAACGATCGAATGAATTGTCTTTACCAACTAATTCAACGTCGGAAGTGACTTTTTTGATCGTCAGCTATCCAATTCGATTTACAAACTATAACCATGGAAGAATCTACGATTTGTTTTCTGTTTCATGTTCGGTATGTGTGTTTGTAAAACATACAAAATCCGAACCATTTTACAATTTAAGGGTTTCGTTTTTGCTGCTTTTCTTTTCAATGTTAGATTTGTAAAAAAAATAGCATAAAGAATGATGAAAGTATTTACATATATTGAAAATGCACAGCGAATGCATTTACGAAATTTCTGTCTTTTTTTTCACGTGTGATTCGAAAATCAGTTGTGTTGTGTTTATTTGCAAGCAAATTCAACTACAAATATTTCCCTAATTGATGTCTCTTTTGAAAAGAATTAAGGCTTAAATTAGAGCATCTATTCCCATTGATTCGATCTATTCGCCGCAAATGTTTGATGGAATAGACGCAAGAGAAGTAGCTAATAATTAATAAAAAAAAAATTAATAAAACACGAGGCGCGTCGTGTTTACCCGTCATCGCAACATCATCAGTAAGTTTGCCGTAAAAATGTCTAAATATTCAAGTTGTAACACAACGGTGGTGGTGGTGGTGGTGGTGGTGGTGGTGGTATTTCGTTCATTGTGGAGTTGCCGAAAGCGCTATTTGCGCCGTTGTCTCGAGCTTATTGACGGCTGCAGCAGCTGCCGATGATTCGATTTTATGGATGATTTTGACGTGCGCCGTCATGTTATCCTTGCGCGTGAATTCTTTGAAACAGTATGGGCAAGGGTAGACTTTGACGTTGCGCTTATGCGAGGTGACATAGTGACGGCAGAAGTTACTGATGTGCGTGTAAACGCGTGAGCACACTTTGCATCGATACGTGTGATCACCTTCTTTGGTACAAAAGTCTCGAACTGAACCTTGTGTATCGTCAATGATATATTTGCTGGATCGATTGCCCGCATTTTGTCGCTCAATTTTCAAGTTATTATTCTCGCCAATGGTCGGCGAAGCGGTGTTTGTGATCGTTACGGTGGCCGAATTATTGTTACTTGCCTGTGTGCCATTGTTATTTTTGGCGAGGCGTTCGCTGCTCTTTACACCTTTCATCGGTGTTGAGCTGGCTTTAATTGCGTTTGCCGTGAAATTATTGGCCAATATGTCAATGAAATCATTGTTATTGATGCCAGCAAATGGGTTCAGTTGGAGTGCACCGATGGTGGCTTGAATGGTAGTTGATGTTTGTTCCGGTGTTTTGACACCGTTTTGCTTCAATTTTGGACGTCTTGTTAGCTTTGGTAGCGGTTTGTTTGGTAGCATATGTTGGATTGGTGCCAATTTTGGCATTTGAATCATTGGCGGAACGACATTGGTCACAGTCGTCGAATCCTGTGTGGCCGACATTGAACTTGGTGCCGAATCTGAGTCTGGATTATACTTAAACTCAACGGGATCGTCATATTCGTCAAGCATTAGCTGTGGTTCCATGTAAGTCATGTCCTGCACTTCGGATGCATTGGACGCATCGTCTACAAGAAAAATAGAGTAAAATTGAATTTTTGAATTTGAACCTTGCCCACGAGTTGTGATTTGTTTTTGTTTTGTTTTGTTTTGTTTTTTTTTTTTACTTTGTATGTGCTCGCAATTGATGATCGCGTACCAAAAAAAAATAAAGGAAAAGCCATAGGGATTTGAAGCCTTTGTCATAATTTTTTTTGTTCGGTTTTAGTTGATTGATTTGGGTATCGATCAATTTGTGTGCATGGAGATTAAAATTCAACGTCGGCCAAAAATCCCTACAATGCTGATCCCTATCAAAGTGTATCGAATACGATCAACGTAATGTTCGTTTCATGTTCGATTGCTTTTGGTCTCACTCTCTGTACCAAACATTCTGTTTGTTTGTTTGTCTGTGTATCAAATTTGAGCGATAGCACAAAAATTTGATATGCAATCTTATTGCAGAGACTCACCTTTTGTGGGCAGCCGACGCAAAATTTCAATTCTATTCTATTTTCTTGTTTTGTCTGTTTTCTTTTCATTAAACTTTCGTTCGACGTTTTTTTTTTCTTCTTCTTATGAATTTTACTTCAAAACACAAAAAAAAAAACTAATAAATGCAAAGATGCGAATTACATTCACTGATCTAACGATCAGATATCGCGGAGTCAGAGTTACGGTCATTACAACTAAAATGAATCAATTTCATTGATTCAGAGAAATACATTCAACACACTGCTTTAAAAATCCCATTTGCTTTTCCGATATTTTTTTTCGTCATGATCTCTACGATTTGCTTTATGCTTACAGCCTATTGAATTTGATTAATGTGAGTAGAACTTATTCAAAGCAAAAAAAATATGTTTTCGATTGTTAGTCGTTTAGTTTTATCGTTTTTTTTTCTCGCTCTCTTCAATTTCTCTAATCGGAGATGGAATAAATCTTTTACATGTGGTTACTCAAAACGCAATCGAAAACATACTCAAATGCATGGTTAGATGATGTCAATGAATTTCTTGCTTTGTACCGTGCTCAAAATTGAAAAATAGTGTGAAAGTGAAGCAAATGCACTCAATCGGCACATACCTGCAATGTTGTTGTCGGCTTGCTCTTTTTGTGGGCTTGGCTCTTTCGCTGATGGCTGTGGCGTGTCCGATTTCATTGGCTCCGTGGTGTCCATGGGTTCCTTTCGTAGCAAATATCAATTTTGTATGTTAGAAATCGTGTGTCGCAGTTTTTTTTGTTGTATTCAATTTTTTTTTTCAAAATTTATAGTGAAGCTAGAAACATATACTGTCACATACCTCTACTGAATTTTCATTGTCAATATCTCTGTTGTTCTCATCCGAACCATCTGAATATCCGTCTGTGCCCATTTTAACTTCGAGTAATTCAGGCGAACCCTGAACGAATAAAAGGAAAAAAAAATGACAAAAACCATAAATTAATTTGATTATAAATAAAATGGTGTTCACCGCAGCAGAACACAGAAAATAACACACCCATCCATCTCACGCAATTGTGAATCTTTGATTCAACAGCAATAAAAAAAAACTGTTCAGTTTTTGTTTGTTATGAAGCTCACCTGAATGATATTGTCGCTGGATTCGTAGTCATCGAAATCGTTTCCATTTGAGCTGCCGGATAGCTTTCGAGGTCGGCCACGCTTCCGTTTTGGTTGGGTGAGAGCTGAGCCTAACAATGGATTTGTCAACATCATCCCCTGCACTTTCTGTTGCTGTGTGTATGGTTGTTGGATACGGTTCAATTGCGGTGGTTGAGCCGCCACCGTTTGTGACGATGGCTGTGTTTGTGGGGCGGGCGTTTCGGATTTTTCCGGTTTATCATCGTTCACCTCGGTCAAACCTTTGATGCGCAGGCTCTCGGCAACGCGTAAAAATGCTGTTAGGCGATCCTGATCCACAGACACTTCGCCACGATACATGAAGTCGAGCAAACTCTTCATGTCGGCAAATGTTATGTCTTTTAATATGACGATTGGATGCTTTTCGGGATGATTGATGAATAATGCTTGGAAATATGGACTGCAAGCTGATAATACCATCTAAATTTCAATAAAATCGAAAAAGAGAAGAAGAAAAAAAAAACGAACCGTTGATAAGAAAAGTCGAATGACGGAGCATAAAATGTGTCCTGAAAAGGACACACAGTTCACAAACAGACAAAAATAAAATCCTATTTCGAAATGTACGCATTGAAAAATCAATAAGTACATTGATATCGCTTTGGGTTATTGAGCAAGCTAAAGATAACATACAAATTCCGAATAGCAGTTATTTTCGATACTTTCATCAACACGCTGCGGGTTTTGGGATTATGGCCAGATGATTTGTAGTTTCATTTGTGATAAGATAAGCAATGAACTTCGATAGGAAAAGGGGGTGTAAATGAGTCCGGTCAGATTATTTAGCTTGTACTTTTAGCCGGAGGGTTGATAAGGGCGTTAAAAAAATATGTGCTCATGTCACAAGATAAACAAGCCAAAACAATATTGATCATTTCGAAAGAAAAAAAACAACAACAGCAACGACAAAATCCATTTTTTCCTATTTTGAATGGGAAAATACTTTGAACCGAAAGCAAAATGTGAAGTCCTCATAGTTCATATTTCGTTATCGACTTTATGACCTTTTCGAGCATTGAATTTATTCCTTTTTTGTTCCTCAAAAAAAAATATAATGCACATAAATTGTTGGGTTATTCTTTTTGACTAGTTTTCGTTTTATGCGCTCAGCGTTCAAAATTATATTGGTATGGTGTATGGCGAATGAAACTAGGCTTCATTAGTTTCGGTTTGAGTGACGATTTGATAGGTTTTTATTGAGTTGCTCCCATTTTTTCTTTGTCGCCAACAGGCATATAAACTGTAACGAGCCGAGACGATACTGTAAAATCTGGAAATCATTAGTACACATTCTCAAAATGTGATATTTTCGTCCAGTGACGCGCAAACTCACTTAAACATCCATTAAAACGGCCGAAATTGGAGAATAGTTAACGAATTGTATAATGGCTATTGGTTTGACGTAAACATTGTTTTTTTTCTGTCGTTTTGTTATTCGATGGCTAAAATCACTAAAATATGCTGTTGGTGACTGGCATTCGAAATGTATAAGGTAATTAAAGGGATTTTAATTTCAAAAAGGTTTTTCTTTCGTTTCTTTTCAACTTAATTCGTACCCTTTGCCAATATTTTTGAGTTGACTTTCACATTTTGGGTCGTACGATTTATTCAATTCCATCCTTTTTTTCTCTCTCTCTCTTTTCTCTTTTACTTTGAATATGCTGACGACATCGCATTAGTACAATCGAAATGGTTTATTATAATCAAAATTCCGTTTTGACGTTGGAAGTGTTTGAAGTCATTTCATATTTTTAACATTAAATTTTTGTCAAGTCAACAGAAAGAGAGAGAAAAAAAACAGACACGTATGTTTGTGTCGCGCACAATAAATAGCCTTGACAGAGTTTGAAATGTTGTGCATATTTTTGAGGATGGGTGAAATGTTGTTTAGCTAACGTTGACAATAACCAGCGTAATTCATGCCTGGCCTGACTTATAAACACACAAAATGTGGATTCATAAAAATGCAATTCAATTCATAATACGGGCACAACATTGTATAATGTTTATTTTTTGAGTGCATACACGGAGATAGAGAGAGAGAGAGAGAGAAAAACTCCATTTCCGTGCCACCAAACGGAACTGGTAACATTTTATTCAGCGATGCAACGGAACATTAAACATTGAATGTTGAATTTATTATCCAAACACAGAAACAAATCCGATAAATCTAAAAAAAAATCAACTAAAAATAACCATTTGGTTTTTTCTGCTTACCTTGTGTGCTTTCAAATACTGTCCTTCAACCGCCAAAGTAACATCAGTGAATGTTTCGGCGTGTAATAGTTGATCGAATACTGATAATAAATTGGTTTGATGGTTGTTCCAACGTAAACAAAATCGTTGTGATGCCATTTTGTCTGTGTGTGTATATGGGAGTTTCAACGTGGGGATTTTTGAAGGAAAAACAAATTAGATTCCTTAGTCAGATTATTCGTTACACTCCACTTGTTTCGGAAAATTTCTGCGCTTTGTCTTTTTCTCGGTAATTTGCTGTTTTTTTCACTTTCGTTTAGCTCCTCTCTAATTCGCAAATCTATTCAAATTGCACTGCAAAGAAAGAAGAAAAAAAACAATAAATTACTAAATTATTCAGTATGAATATTAAACTATGCTATAAATGGAGGCTAGTGTAAAATAAGGGAAAAAAATACGCCACAAAAGTTCATTACACTATTCGTTGAACTCGTTCGATTCAAATAACTTCAAACTAGACCATTTCATCGAAGAGACAATTTAAATCTAATTAAAGCATAGATTGACTGTATTAGTTCCTTTGTCCTTCTTCCCATTAAGCGGCACAAACGCAAAAACAACTACAAAAACACTGACGATAACATGGAAAAACGCCCCTTTGCTATATCTAATACCAGACGTGTGTTGAATGTGTCCAATTTGAAGTGTATTCGGTTCGCAACCCAGTGTAATAGCACTCACACTCCTTTCCATGCAAGCGACCCATTGGCTGAGCCTGTTGAAGCTATTTCTCCATTCAAACAACATTTGCCACAACATTTTTTTTTTATCCTATTTCCATTGTCTAGGTATATATGAACGATGGCAAATTATTGGTTGAGTTTGTTTCATTCGTAGAGAAACTGGTTGTTCTGCGCGTGCACGGAATCAAGCACGTATAACGTTCAACACAGCGCGCTACACATACACATTGATCATCGGAGCGGACATGGACGAGTACAAATGTCGTTCAACACGTCACCAAACGGAATCATTTGATTTGTTCAAAGTTTTTGAACATTGAAACATAGCGCGACTAATCGTGGGGGGGGACTTTTTCAATCGTAACTATTTGATTCGTTTCGCTAAATAGAGAAGCTATTATTATGGTTCGTGAGCAGCAAAGTGGAACGCTTGCAATTACAACAGTACATAGCCAAGAGAAATTCCATAGTTGACGAGCCTTTGCAAGGCAGCAAACGACGACGACGACGACGACGACGAGATATGCGCAACAATTGTTTCCATTGATAATAATGAGTATAGTGAACGAAGGGGCTATTTTCGTTTATTTTGCAAAAGGGAACTAGATTTTTGTACTTTTATTCAATCAAAAACAAAAATTCAAACAACAGATAAACATGGATTGGAGCACACATGTTACGAACTCATGACGCCCATGTGCAATCTCTTCAAATCCTTGACTTCAAATCATGCCACGGCTGCACAGAGCGCACAGCTCTCTGAATATTCAATTCATGCGGCAAGTGACGGGCAAATGGTTAAACTGGAACTTAATTGAAAACAAATTTATTACATGCGCGCGGCCGATGTTTTATCGTGATTCTTTTACATAAGGAAACTTATGAATCGCCGCTTTGTATTCCACCATATGAAAGACAGTCGCTCACTGCTTTGGTTTTAATTTTTATTTTTTTTTTCGCTTCAATACATTATTATATTGTCAGTTAGTGCGTAAAATATATTCTTATTTCATATTTCGACTACATAATCAAATCGCGTCGAAAAACAAACATAAAAAACATGAAGGAGTTTCGAAAATTGAAATATAACAACTTGTGAAATTACAACTGGCAAAGGAACCGATGATAATATTACAAAATCACCGTGAATTTTATTTGGTTGCTGTTATGTGGCGACGACTATTTGTGTTGGTTAATGCTGAACATTTGTGTGTTGAACGAACGACCGAACGAACGAATACAAAAACAAAAATGGTAATGATTAAGTTCATACTAGGAAATGGCACAACACAGAATTAACTGTTTTGACTGAAGGATTCGTGTGAAAATCGACCATAAGTCAGAGATTGTGCTTGAGTTGGCCGCACAGAAGCACCTTGGGAATAATGCAACGTATAATATATATGGGTTTTTTTTCTCCATAAAATGTGCTCATTTGAAACGAAGAGAAAAACACAGAAAACAACAACGAAAAAAAATTGCACAATTCAAAAACACAGCATGAGTGCAAATAGAAACTCCGTGTGCTCAAATATCCACGCGAATATAGCTGTAGCAGGCATATTCAGTGGTGCAAGCAGTCGGAATTGAGAGAGCCTCAATTGCAAATGAAACAAATACATGAAACCACGCGATTCAAAATGCACACAACACATTTGACGATGACGACGACTGCGACGACGACGACGACGACGACGACGACGACGACGACGACGACGACG